TTTTACTGGCCACAACCGAATACAATAAGTCGATCCATTCGGTCATCGACCAGAGACCAGTTGATGTGGTTCAGGCGCACTCTGATGAGCCACAAGAGAAGATAGAAGAAAAGATCAGAAACGCTCAGACGACGCTCAGAGCTAGGGAGAACGCAAAGCGGCAGAATAGAGTCTTCGATGTTGGTGACAAGGTTTTGGTCAAGTCCAACCGACGGCTCGGAAACAAACTCACACCTTTATGTGTCGAGAAGGCCGTGGAAGCAGACCTGGGGACCGAGGTCCTCATTAAAGGAAGGGTGGTCCACAAGGACAACCTAAGATGACTCCCTTGTTTTTTTTTATTACACCTTTTTTTTAAGCCGCTAGGCAATTTCGAATAAGTTAGATATAGTTTTCTATTTACCTTTAGCCACTTGGCATAGTTTTTATAAAACATTTTGGTGGCGGGTACACCCGATGCTGGTGATTTAGAGCAGACTAGGTCCACTGAAATGCGACTAATGAATGCCAACAGTAGACGGATAGAAGTAAACACTGAGGTTCAAGACCAACTTAACCAGTTAACATTTGCTGTCAGTGGAGTTCTCGGGATAGCCAAAACTCACAAATTGATTTTATTGATTTATTTATTTGAAACACTGAAACACTGTCCAGAAACAGAATGCGGACGATGGAGTTGCAAAGTTTAATGCTTGCTATTACTCTCGCGAAGGCTCATTGTTAGCCCAAACATTTTGGACTCCTCAGATTTAAAATCAATTTGGCTAGAGGAATCCATCAACACTATACATTTTATAACCAAATTCCCAAAAATTAAAAAAGCCTGCAGAAAAATTACGATTTATCCTGTCGTCCACAAGAACCAGCAACAGCTCTATTCGCCCCATAGTTGGATGCTAAGCCAGAACCACAGCATGCAAATCTACAAGCGGAATCGTTGAGGAAACCCCCTTGTTCACGGCACCACCACCAACAGTAGAAGCTCATCAGCCAGCAACAACTAACGAACTCTTCGCGGCGGCAGAGCCAAGCGACTCTTCATCCATACTAGAACCAAGTCAAGAAATCCCCAAAACACCGCCAACTGCATTAATTCAAGAAGTTTCACAGCCACAGGTTGCTCCAACCGCTGCCCATCTCTGTCGACACCTGCCACGGCTGCCGGCTCATCCTCATCCTCATCGGCAGCGGCGTCACGTCAACTGCAGCTGCCGGCATTGTCGGCAGTTGCCGCACGGCAACAGCAGCTACTGCTGAACGGCTCTCTGAAGAGCAAGACGAAGACATTTCCTGCGTATCGAGCATCGGTGCGCAGCGAGAGCGACGACAAGGAGTACAGGGCGGCTAGCAGCAGCAGCAACACGATACCGACGACGGGCAAAAGTCGGCCAAGATCAGCGGCAAGAACTGTAACAATCTGCTGCACAACGCCGGCAATAAGCTAAGCGTGAGCAGCAACTCCTTCGGCCTATACGCAGCATCTGGCATCATCGCCCAAGAGCCCTGTCTCCAGCAACGGCCATCTGAACAAATACTGCCTGACGGACTTGACGCGCCGCAAGGCCGAATTCAATCGCCAGCTGAGCGCGCCGACAGACTACACACATCACTCGTCCAGTAACGGCTCATAGCATCGCTGGAGTGGTGGGACACAGTCATCACGGCCATCACGGGCACGTGCACGGCCAGTCATCGACGGCGCCAGCCACACTCAAGTCGCTGCAGCTGCACAACTTTGGTATGCATCATCCGATGCCAAGGCCCACGTCCACGTCGTGCACCAACAGCTTCAACAGACGCCACATACGTAGGCGCAAGAGCAAGCTTAGTAAGCGCCTGCTGAACGGCGATAGCGAAGAATCAGTACGCTGCTCATACTGCTCCGTATTGAATGTGAATGAGAACGACTTGCGGATTTCATTCGAGAACACCTGCACCGACTCGCTGGTCACCGCTGCTAATATGCGACCAAGGAACCGAAATGGTGCACTTTGATGATGTGTCGTTGTACGGCACTCCGAAAGAGGAGCCATATGCTGTGCTTTAATCTGCATTGGCTTCACTCTTTGGTGGATCATCGACGCAAAGAAGTCCGCGAAGCACTTGCGAGGAGTCGTCGCTGGAATTGGGTCGGTCGAGGACGACCTTACACTTGAGGGGGGGGTAGTTAACTTATAACACTTAGTTAGCTTATAACACTTAATGTAAGGTATTATTCAACACTTATTATCGGGTGCTAGACAAGTTAAGGAACAGCCCTGGCAAGGGCAACTCTACTTACGCCGGTGAGGCTATGATTTGTAAAAATATAGATCAGTCTCGTGTTTTAACTCGTACTGATAGGACATGCTAAAAATTGGTGTCATATAAGTAAAACTAAAAATAGTGAATATAATAAGAAAAACCAATAAAATTAACTGTTTCGATTATTCAAAAAAGAACAATTAAAAGCAGGGTTAAAAAGCGTTCTTCCAGTAAACCGCTTAAATAAATATTCACTCCGTCATTTGCTCGTTAAATGGCTTATTTCATTGTCTGAGCCCGAGGCCAGCAATAAGAGGCACAGTCGCCTCTCAACCTAACTTTCAGTCACCACAGGACTGGAAAACATATAATTTATACATACATACACATATATATATCTTTATTTGACACCTGCATCTCTTTGTCTCTCTCTGTTTCGTTACTACGTCTTCATTTTCCGTACCTTTGTGTCTTCCATAGCTCCCTCTCTATCTCTGTCTCTATCTCCCTCTTTCTTTCTCTCTGAACATATATATCTTTCTTTCTCTCTCATTGTATTTTTCTTACTCGCTCGCCTGTTCTCTGTCTCAGTCTCTCTCATCATCTCTCCCTCTCTTATTTTTCTCAATTTTGCTGCCTTGTGTAATTAGCTACATTAATCGGAATATATATGTTTACGGATTACGGAGTATGGAGTATATATGGAGTATATATACGCAGTATATCTTATTATTCATAATATATTAATGAAATTGTGAATGACAGCGGTGGGAACGTTTCTTTGAATTACAATTTACTTTTTACATTAAGCTAGACTGACTGAATTTAATATTTGTACAATCGTAACGATCAAATCTCAATAAAACTTTTTTGTTATCTTTAACTAATGAGATTCTGGCATAAATTAGTAGACGTAGATAGTTGTTACAGAGGGAAAGTTGGTCAGCAGCTGTTTGTTTCAGGTCTAGTTTCCCAAGTTATTTGCAAATTGAATATTTATAAAGTCAATAAGTTTATTAAGCTCATAAAGTGCGAATAATTTTAAAAAATTTTATTGGCTCCACTGTTTGGCACAAGTGCTAAGTGCACAATCGAGATTCCAAAGTGCGACTTTTCCATTCGCATTTGCCACTAGCCATCAGTCGGTTCGACTGTAGGAAAAACTTAAAAGCCCTTTAGCTATCTAACTACCCAGCAAATATATAAAGCATTCCACACTAAACAGCGATTTCAGATATTGAATTTCTATCTTCCAAATTATTAAGCTACTGTTATATACCCATTGCAGGGGATTGCAGCGGGTATGATGCTTTTGCACATAAAGTAGATGTATTCCTATTCACGATGAAAAATATTGTTTTTTGCATCATATAAAATTTTCTTAATATCAATTAAAATAGACTATTCAGCTTTGTTTATATATTAGCCTAAAAAAGGATTGAAAACACTGTTCAGAGAAAAGTTCAGGGTATTTCCTAGTTAGGCACTCCCGACTAAAGCATTCTTATTGCTATTAGTTTCTACCATTTATTTCCCTATTCAGCTAAGCCAATCTTTATTTCCCCTCATTATAAATACAACGTGTTACACGTCGATTTTATTCTACGCAGTTGAACTGTATTTGAATATTGTAATTTGTAAAAGACACTCAAGAGACGTAATCTTGCATTGAATATCGCACATTCAACTACATAATGTACTCGTGAATGCCTATTTTCAGCCAGTAGATACAAGCAGCATATGGTAAGGGTAATCATATATCTGATACATTTGACTATCGATTAACTCACAGTTATTGTCGAATAATATTGTGCTAAAAATAAGAAATCTGATACAACAAAATATGAAAAACTTGTTTTGTATTCAGCATATTCTACAATGCTAGACCCTTACTATATGAGTAAAATCTAATCAACATTGAAGTATTATCACGTACAGCTCCATAGAATCAGTCTGCAGCGTGATTAAGTATTTTCGTAAAGAAATGATTTATGATTTTTAGTTATATGTATTTATTAGATTTATTTAATTTTTTCCATTTTTTATGTATTTACAATGTCTTTTATTGGGCTATCATAAAATTGTGAATGTAAAATCTAGTCTAATTTCTTTGTTGTTTTCCAGCTGTTTATTAAAGAACTAATTAAGACAGGTCAGCTATAGACAGTATGCCTTAGTAGTCCTCTAGACTTATTCGTTTATGATATATACTAAAAAATATCATCGGATCCATACTAGTACTAAACATATATGATATAAAGTTGATCTTGCTCAAGTAACTTGAATTGAAAGACCTGAAGTGGAGCAATATAAATCTGAATTTCGTAAGCACGTATTCGCTCTATGAAAATCTGGTATATTTATAAAGAATATCTTAGCTATATTCTATAAAACAGAAAGTTCTGTTCTGCTAGCTTTGAATTGTACATTCTAGTTAGTTAGCCCCACAATCACAGGGTATTTTACCTGTCAGTCACTCCAATCCCCACTATCTTCCTAAATAAGTAGGCGCGTAAACTATTGAAGAATCAGTCAAATACCTGATATTTGAATTTGTTGACCGTTATCAGCAATGATCACACTTTATGCTGAGCGCAGACACGAGCTCGACCTCCGAGATCAGAGATCGGCAAATCGGTTTTATCCAAAAAAAAGAAAAAAAAAAAACAAATAGAAGAGGAAGAAGAACTTAAATGATGTGCAGTACGATTTGATAAGCTCGCTCGCAGCTCGGCTATGGCCGTAGAGCAATGGACACGAGTGCGAATCTGGGTACGCGATACGCGGTCTGACGACCCTAACTCAGTTCAAAAGCGTAACTCAGAACAAACGCAGTTCTGTTTTTGCTGCCATTGACGACTGACGAAAGTGACCTCCGTGCTGGATGCTGTCGCGTCCAAGTGTCAAAAGCTCGCGTTGCTCAAAAAAATATATCTCGAAGTTCAAATAACCGCACAAATAAACTAGATTGCAGCTGTGACACTGTGTGTTTGTATCTCTCTCTCCCTCTCTCTCTCTCTCTCTCTCTCTCACTCTCTGTAGCCCGCCCATGTATTTGTGTTTGTATTTGTATAGTTGTGTGTGTGCCTGTGTGTGTGTTTACGTGCTTTGCTACTAAGCCATTCCAATAATACATAAAGTAGCGCCTAATGTCGCGTTCGTTCATTCGAACAACAAACTCCTTCGACAACAGACTCATTAATCGAAAGTCAATCGAAATCGAAACCGAATCGAAATCGACATCGGAACCGACGCTTAGACAAGTGTTGGAAAATTCACTTCCGGTTCGCGACAATTTCAATATGGCACCAAACGTCATTTGGATCAGTTTTTAAGTTAAACTGAATCGAATCAAAAGTTCATTAATTACACGTGTCCAGCAACCAGTGCAAATAATAAAACATATACATGTGTAACATATGTATGCACATATAAAATAATAAAAAATAAAATAAAATACTCGACCAAGCTCCTCTCAATTTCACTCTCTCTCTCTCTCACACACACTCGCACTTGCCGCTCACGCACCCACATTGCAGTCGCCGGAGACGCCACCACAGCAAAACTAATGCTAATTTGAAACGGTAAACAATTGGCACTACTGTTGTTGTTGTTTAATATATACATACATGCATACATATTTAAATTAGTATGCGTTAGTTTTTGGTGTTTTTTTTTTCGTATTTTGTTCGTTTTGTTTGCTTGTGTTTGTATGTGATTGCACGCATTATCTTTATTCAGGATTGTAAATTGATTGTGTGATAAGAACGAGTGCTTTAGCGTTTCCAGTTGATAAGATTACTGTTTTTCAGCTCTGGCATCGCAAAGCTTACCGAAGATGTCATTTAATTCAGCTGTAGTCGCCTAGTGTGTAGCTATGAGAGACTATAAGCCAACCACTTTGTCCTGGCCAACTGATTAAGCTCGCTTTTCATTTAGCTTGCAAAGTGATTAGTTAATATTAGTTAATATAAGGCAGGAGCCACAGCAATACAGAATAACGACAGTGAAACGATCAAATCATCGCTTGAGTGTCAGCTTCAGTGCTAAAAAGTTCATAATGATTATTCATTGACTAATTATTGATTGTCAAAATATCGAATTAGAGTATCAACTCGATCCATTTCACAAAGTGAGGTAGGACTGACTACTTTGCATACCAGTTGATCAGCTGCCCGCTCATTACCAAGGATCAATTCATGCTCTATAGAGGCAACAAGCAAGCACTGGTTGGAATTTAACTATCAAAGTATTATATAATTTGCATGCCGTCGGCATTAACTAGTGCAAACAGGTTTTGAACGATGGCTAAGTGTCAACTTTTATCTTTGAATATTTAACTCATTCGTCGTTCGTTTGCATTTATCAATAAAAAATGTTATTTTACATAAAAAGTCGAAACACTGCAAACAACTAGTTCACAATGGTAGACAAATATTCAATGAATCAGAGTTGATGGACTGAGTTGAAACTTTATAGGACATGTAATATAGGAAATGCCGTATAGACTTGTTTCACTAATATGTATTTTACGGGCAAAAACAGGCTAGACCGACGCAATAAAGTATATCTACAAATTCTAGAGCAGGCTCAGCAACAAAGATGATGTTACTCATAAATATGCATAGAGATCTTTGAACTTTGAAAATGTTTGCAAGTCACCTATACCACGCGCTGAAGTAGTTGTTCTTCAAATAATCAAAACTCTTAAAATTGCCAAATCAAATACTATATTAAACTTAGTTCTTCAACAGAGCAGCTCCTAGAGTTAAGCAGTTTGACTACAGATTGTTGCAAAGTAGTTCAACTTTTACATATTTATTATAGAAATTATATATGCATAATATGCAGCAGCTCGACTGCGAGCATAATACTTGCTTATGCATGTTATAAGATTAAAGAAATGAATTTGGCTAGTATAATAAAAACATAGTTAGAGCCAAGATACTTCGATGGGTCAACTATATAAGTTGATTAAGACTTATTGAACAGGTCAGAACTATCACGTGCATAGCATTTGAAAAGGGGTCTAGGCATTTGCTTTAGTCATTAAAGTGCCGACGCACGAATTGGGATCATAGTGCAATATTAATATTTTAACGTGTATTATTCGCCAATGCTCTTACAGCACATAATAGAGTATAGAAGCACACAATAGCCTGTTTGCTCTAGTATCTAAGTCTTGTGCAAATCTCGAACTATTTGCACAAGAATCTCACAGGCAAGCCATAAAATCCAACAACTTGTATAACTGCTGAACAAAGCAAATACTCGATTAGAGACGTGTGTGTGAGATCTACTTTTGTATTTGTTGGTAAATATAATTAGCTAAGGCTGGACAGAGAGATTGGGGGCGGGAGACTGATCTGATAAGCAATGCAAAAATTTGCAAAGCATCGAGACGTTTCCATTGTCACCAAGCTTCTTTTCAATTAGCTGAGGTAATTGGAGTACAATGTAAACTGGGATAGAGACGTGTGTCTCGGATCTATCAAGTTCTGCTCTGTCTCGCTGTCTCTCTCTCTCTCTCTCTCTCTCTCTGTATCTGTCTTTATATATATCTATATTTAATCTTGAAATGCGTGTGTGCAATGCTTGATTTGATCTAAATTATCATCAGTATAATCAACAACAAAAACGACCCCAAATATGATAAGGAAGTCCTGCTGAGCAGTGACTACCTTAATGAGCTGCACAGCGGGACTTCCATTTATTTCGAAAATTCACCACATCAGATTTACATAAATGCGAATGCGAATGCGCTTGACCCAAACTCGAAAGAGGCAAACGTTGTTTCTATTTCCATGTCGCAATGCCATTTCAGCATTAGCATTTGATAGACCTTCAAATAGACAGCCCCAGAAGCAGACCCACAGCCACAATCAAAGCCAGAGCCACAGCCATAGCCAGAGCAAGAGCCAGAGGTAGCCAATGCCATTTTTAATTATTGCGCATACGCCACCATTGCCAAGCAGCAAATCAGAAACATCCTGCGCCACTTAAATCATTTTAATTCATGCATGTGTTATAAGTTTGTCTAATTAGCGCCACTCACCGAGCGAACGAGCGTCGTGTGTTTAATTTTGAGCAACAAACATATATGTATATATATATATACATAGACATATAGGCACACAAACGAAGATACTTTTTTCGGTATGATGAACAACAGCCCAAGAGCTCAGCTTGCCTCTAGAGTTCATTTACTTTCGGTGGCACATCATCATGAGCATCATCTATTGGAACACAGTTACTAAATTTGGCACCTCTAGCCCTTAATGTTAATCAACCTGCCCCAGCAAGGCCTCCATGACACGACTCTAACGACAGCCAGTTCAAATCTCAGTCTATGTCAATTTAGTATTAAGCTTTTCTTAAATTGAGTCCATTAAGTACTTGAGTGAAGCGATATCGTACTGGAACTGTAGGGGCATTCACATCACTGTTTTGTTGACCCCCAAAAAAAACAAAACACCTTTATTCGAGAGCATTATGCCTATGCCCAAGATCCAAGCGGAAACTCAAGTCAGTCCGAGTCATAAACAATCGAATTACACTCGCAGAACCTAAAAATAAAATCAGTTGCTTTCATCAACTCAAGATGTATAAAAATCTGACTAGATATGAAAATCTAATCAGATATTTAATATTTTTATATACATTTACAAAGTAATAAGGGTATATTGGTTTCATTGAATATCCTTTTTGTTGCCCGTTGTTCAGTTTGTTGAGCTGTATGAGGCATGCCATAGTACCACACTTGTAGCTAAAATAAGGTAAACATTTTAGGAATGTATCTCATGTGATAATCTTACGTCTTTTAGATAGCTCCAATGTAGAATATGAAAACTTTAACTCTTAGCGTTTAGGCAGAGATACATGCACAGAAACTCTTATATACCACTATAAGGAACAAAGTTAAATTTGTATAGCCCACTGCTGGGCGTGACCAAACGTTATTTCATAGTTAGAGTTACATAATGTTTCGAACTAGTTTCAGTTGACGTCCGCTATATATTGACTAAATATTATTATGTTAATCTATGATCAGCTCACTCTGTCGGCAGAGCAATGCTGATATACGCAAGAGATAGTTCTAATAATCTATTAACTATTAACTTAAAAATATTATTAACTTGGCAAAAAAGGAAACATTTCGATTTGTTAATTTAATTTAAACTGTATTAAATAAGGTCTATTTAGTGAAATTCCCAGATTTAATACTGGGCATTTATTTCAATAATGTTTTTGTTTATAAAAGTGAGCTAACTAAATGACGATATCTTAAATAAAAATCGATCTATATTTAATATATACCAACTGGGTTGTAGTATACTATATCTCGATCTGTATTTCAGTTATGGGCATACAGTTTCCAGATCTTGTGATTTTTTAAGTATATTAAGAACATAAAGGCAGTTAGCCACCTTGGATGAGTAGAATATACTTTAAGCCTTGTGACAGGCTGGTACTTCAAAGATTGTACTTATCCTATATTCTATATTATACTACATTCTATATAGTAACATAATACTATATTCTGTATTTATACTATATTCCAATATTCTATATAATACTATACATACTTAGGATGAACTTTTCCAAAAGTTGAATGCATATTGCATTAATTGACTTTACAAAAATTATTGATGTAGATACTGATTTTAATCGATTTTAAGGTAACAAGTTATCGATCTTTTAAAACAAATTTGACCTGAGCATGCTAGAAGATGGGAGCAAAACTTAAAGAAATCCACAAAGGAGACACACAGAAAGATATATGGAATAGTAACTATATATAAATTTTGACTAAAACATATCCTCTCTCAAGAGGTTCCAGGTATAAGTAGCTAAATAGATACAGCTGTTTGCAAGATACTAACTATGTGTATATATGCACACATATATTTAATATTGTGAGGCATAAGCAAAGGGGCAAGGTCTTGCAAATGAAGCTCTAGAGCAGCTGATAAGGCATTACGAGCTATATCTTGCAGAGGATGATAGATGTAGATAGAGTATAAAGTAAGGGAGAGTCGAACAGAGTTGAGCGTTATCAAGTATGATCTCAAGTTTAGCTAATTATTGTTGCTTTAATGGGACTGAAGAGATGTTAAGATACAGATAGATTGCAGTATTAAAGATAAGGATTTAATGAATGCCCTGATAAAATTGCATGCAGAGCACACTTTAGCAAACATCTAAATAAACTTCAAACTAATCACGGTGTTAACTTAATTATTGCCATAAAGTATGTAAATTGAAATCAAAATTTGCATTTGCATTTGCAGGCCGACAAACATCGACAGACAGACGAGCAGAGCGTTTGTCTACGGTTGATGCGGATTATACAATCAAGATAGACAACTGGGGAACAGCGATTGACGAACAGCCAGCCTGACTGTTAGTTAACTAGTATAATAATTATCAGTGCTGGATTATTATCAGTGCAACGGTGCAGCGCAGCGATAAGGAGAAAGAGGAAGAGCCCACTAAGCTACTATAGCTGGCAAATCAACACAATGTCAGCGTTTGCACATCGCCAAAGCCGAAGCCACTGCAAAAACAGTATTCGAACGCAGATGAACAGTTGAGAGGCGGCCAGAGCGCAAGTGCATCTAAGCAAGGAGAAAGTCGAACAACCCAAAAGCAGATCAGAGATACGTAAATTAGCCGACCAAGAGAGCTTGGAGGAAGCCGACAAATGACGGAACAGGAACACAAAATGCTGCCCACGGACAAATGCATAACGGCAACATCGACGCCAATTATCATTGGCAGCACCAAGTCTCCGGGGCCAGAGCAGCATACACATACACAGTTGCATCCGCCGCAGCATCCACCGCTACAACAACAGCACGGCCATCCGCATTTAAACATGCATCACACCTGCAGCCACACGGTGCACAGCCAAAAGTATTCAGCTGAGACGCCGCGACGAAACCTTCACGAGCTGCTGCTGGAACTGTTGGATGTGCTGTTATCCTGCCTAGTCGTAGCGCCGTGCGTAATTGCCTATTGGCGCGGCACCTGGGAGCTGATGGGCGTGCTGCTCTTTCCCAGCAGCTTGCCCTTGTCGGCGCTGGCCTCGTTTGCCATCGGTGGGCTGGGACACTTCATTTTCACCATTACGCAGAGCTTCTTCAAGGATCACATACATCCTGACAAGCGACGGCTGACCTACTATGCCATCTCGCGTCTCTACACCGCCGTCTTCGGTGTCGTCTGCGTGAACATGTGGCGCGGTGCCTGGATGATCTGCGATTGGTTAACCAGCATCGATTCCCTGGCCATCATCTCCGTGGTTACTCTCGTGGCGCTGCTCTTCCTGGTTGGCACGCGCACGCTGCGCAACCTGGGAGCGGCGCCCTACACCGTGACCATGGATCACAAGAGTGATTACTTTGAGGTGGACACCATGTTCAAAATACCGGTAAATCTAATATTTTATTTCTAATTAATTTCAACTCAGCTCAATTAAAGTGAGCAAATATTTAATGTGAATTCGATTTGTACAAAACTCTATTCCAATTACTACAGAATCATATCATTTAAAGAGGGTTCCTTAAGCTGATACTTTGTGCACAGATCTGAGCTTTATTTAATATTTGCAATAAGTATTAATACTCGTCCACGAAACAAAAAGAGTACATTGGTGTTGATCTACGTCCGTTTTAACTGCTCGTCTGTATGTCTGCCCCTGGGACTGTAGATATAAAATCTATATCTATATCTATATATAATACTCTCTGGGAAATACTCACCAAAAATGTGCTTAAAAAATCTGATATAGGTGTTATAATAGTTTACGGAGCTGTGTATATTGATATAGAAGCTAATTATCATTGTATCACAACTTTTCGGTGAACTAGTTAATTGCTACAAGTGCTCTAGAGTTTATTAAGAGCAAAAGAATCATGAGAAGGACCATCAAGTAAATATATTTCAAATGAAGTACAATCGACAGTTTCTGTGGGTTGGAATTATAATAATTGAATAGCGTTCGGTAGCAATCGTAATCAGTAAATGGATCCTCATATTTTATAGTAAGCTAAAAACGAGGAAATTCAAAAAGAAATTAAAAACCAGTAATAGAATAAATATATATGTTATCGATTGTTAGTCAGACGAACGATAAGCTTTATTTATTTCAAATGATTTGCCAGACGAATACAATCAATTTTTATATATTTTTCTTCATTTAATAATATTACATTTTAGAATGTTAACATAATCAATATTTATGGTATTCAAAAACGATATCAAATGATCGATTTTTATTGATCTTTTAAAAATAGATTTAGTTACAGAAAAAAAGATAAACTGCGCTGTTTCAAGCATTTACATACATATTTAATTTCAAGTCTCTATCTGTTGTGGCCTACGAGATCACAGTATTCAGACGAACTGATCATAAATATATATATATATATGGGGTCTGCCACGCCACATTCTGCCTGTTACAACAGTTTCACAAAACCAGTATAAACCGAATACCCATTTTCAAAGTGTTCAAAAGTGATATAGATCTTAGACTTTTACATGTGAAGAATGATGTCACTCACAAGGGAGAATAACAATTGAGGGTTGATGTTTAGTACGCCAAAGATATTGATGTGCTTGTTATGCCATGCTAGCTGCAAGGCTAGCCAGTCATTCTAAAATTATATATTATACTAAAATTTGGATAATATAATAAGATTGAAGTGTAAGAGCTTACACTGCGTTGCACAAGAGGCTCCAAATCCGATCCGCAAAACGATCGCAGAATATGAAAAGTGTCCGCGTGAAGTCTGCCAACCATGTTAGTCACGAGACTCAAAATGTAGAGCTCCACTAAATAACTGACGCTTAGAAATGTTACAAGCCATTCAATGACAGGCGTGGTTATTGCTAAGGGGTGTCCAACCATCAGGCGACAATATGAGTATCCATGCAAGCAGGTGACACAAAGAAGGTGAAACAAAAAGGAGCCCAATGGATATTTGAAAACTTCGCAAAATTCGTTAATCATGTGAATCAGCTTATAATACATCCGATGAGCTTCCAAAATGCTCTGTCCCTTCCGAGCTATCGCCATTGGATCAGAATACAGTTGACTTATGTAACGTTGCACCTTTAAGAAAGTATAGCACATATACCAGATGATATTAAACACCAGAAAATATAGTCCATCGATAATAAGCCTTGCTCCAAACATGCCAACAAAATTGTAAGGCCCCGAGTTTCCAGTGAATGTATGTATGCCGGATGCCAAAGCTCGTTGTACCAGTAGCAACACTCTGAGGCAGTATAATACTTGCAGGTATGACTTCTCCGACGGTGTGACGCTATAGCTAGATACGGCTATGCGCTGGTCCAGCTTGAGCAGAACCTGAATCATATTATATATCCTATCTTGCCAATACTGAGCACAGCAAATGCAGATGAATAATGTCTGGAATCTGATGACGGGATAGAACATCACTAAGGCATTCATCAGCTGCGATTGCGTGGGCAAGCTCGGCACATTTGGCGCAAAAACTATGGTCACCAAGAAGATAGTGCACAGAAAAATTAAAGAAAATAGTCTCCCATAAATGCACAAGATGTGTGACTTTATGACCTTTCCCGTGCGGACATCAAAGTAGAATGCAGCGGCTCCACAGAATACCAAATAATATGATAACCACGCCACGTAAGCCAGGTGCTTTCCCAAGAACATATCTACGACGACTGCAAGTCCCTTAGGTGAATCAATAGAAAATCGCATTTGAAGAGAGGCGAAACATCAATAAACGCATATTGGCTGTCCTAGGCATAGAAAAATGACCCAATTGACAGTCGCCATTCATTCATAGCAAAGTTTAATAATTTTGAGTAGCTTACGTATGCCCACAGAGCTTAACTTGTTTAATTGACATGCATGTTTGAATTTTGATTGATTTAGGGCTTCAATCAACCCGGCCTGTACGTCCTGGACACATTATTCTCGGTGTTTGTCATTGGCAGCCTCGTGGTCATCGCTTGGCGCGGAGTTTGGGGCATCTTTGATTTGACTCTCTTCCCGCGAGATAAGGCAAAGTCCGCCTGGGGATCTCTGGTGAGCACAAAGCTTTACGTCTCTTAAATATTCTCTCACCTGTCTCTCTAACCTGGCATGCAGCTAATTGGTTACCTAACGGTCTTTGTTACCTTCGTCATACAACCGCTGATGCGCTACGTTTGCCGTCGAATTAGTGGACTATTGAAAATAATCATATGCGATATTTACTATCTGATGACATTTTTTGGCGCTGTAAATGCTTGGCGTGGCATTTGGAACTTGCTCGATGTTTACCTGTATCCAGGTGAATATATATACACAGCATTTCCATTCGAGGTCAATGCAATATTGTTCTTCTAGACGATCGTCTATTGAGCTTCTGGATCACGCACATCGTCCCTTTTCTACTGCTGGCCGCACTCAAGTGCTCCAATTCGATTCTGGTGCGCGGTGTATTCATTGACGCCGAGGGCTCAGGTGCCGATGCCGTTCACCTGCCCATCAACTATGTTCGCTTGCATTTTCTGCGCGAACGCCGCAAAAAGGTTGCCTCTGAGCAATATTTGCATTTGGACTCGCCGCTCTACTACTTGAAAGCGGATCATGCGACACTTGGCAAACATCTGGAGAAGGACAAGGAAGCACAGCACAGTCTGATTGAGAAACCACACACCCCCGCAGCCCAGATCATATAGAAAAGGATTAGCTTTTACATATATACATAGGTGTTAAACTAATTTTAGATGCATAAACTTAATGCTAGTTGATGCTTGTTGTTGAAGTGCAAGCATACTTAAAGCCTGGATTAATAGTTTATCTAAATCTAATGTCTATTTAAAATTGTACAAAATAATTAATATATGTAAATATAAATATATATATATATCTATATCTTTATATTATTGTTAGGAATTAGCTTTTCTTTTCGAGATTTTCTTCTGTACATTTTGCATTTCACCTTAAGCTTCGCTTTCTATAAAACTGTTTCATTGCAAATAAATAAAAAATACTTGTGTAGGACCTGAGATGCACAATATGCTATAGTTCTATAGTATATATTAAATATTTGCTTATCTAAATTTCAAAGAAATTTCTTTGAATCTATCTGAAACCTTACAATATCGCTAATTTACACAAAAGGTATAAATATAGTAGGGTATTTTAATTCGCCAAGGTATACCGTTTATAAGGGTCTACATGGACACATTAGAAGCAACTTGTGTTAAAATATGTTTAACAAAATCTTTTAAAAATATTTTTATCAATTAAAAACAAATTAATTTTAAATTCAATAATTAAAATTAACAGTATACTATTTTTATATAGTATATGATATTATAGCAATAATTGATATATATTTTTGCATTAAAATAATTTAAGTTCATCTTATTTAAAATAAATTTAAAAGATTTTCAATTAACATTTTGAATATAAATATATATATATATATATATATATATATATATATATATATATATATATATATATATATATATATATATATATATATATATATATATATATATATATATGTGTATAAACCACTCTAAAATGCAAAACAAAACAGAAAGTATTTTTAAAAAGATTTGGATATCTCCAAGTCAGTGATTCCCGACGACGGCTCCCTTTCCTGTTTAAATTTTAAATACTGAATGTCGTCTTCGAGCATAGTAGCGTATCGAGCAATAGAGACAAATTGATCAGGCTAATTTTGCTGAAAATAAAAGGTAAGTAAGGAGAAGACGAGCGGGGTAAACTGCGCAGCGAAAATAAATACGCAAATGCAAATCGAAAGCGCAAAATAGAAAGCAATTGATATTTGCAGCAAGGCGTAAAATGCAAAAACTTGGCATTTCAGTTTCAAATAGTCGACGGTTTGCTGAAAATCAAATTAAACACGCAACTGCATATAGGATTTGTGTTTATTACGTTTAAAATTAAAATATTGCTATAACTCAATCAATAACAAACAAACTTAAAATGTGTTAAAGTCAGCGCGTTAATCGTGTCGACCTAAACCTATAAGAAAAGCCATCTTTTTATATAACCGCAAAGAGACGATTCAAACAAGCACATCGAAATGGGAATTCCGGATATACGACAGTTGGTCACACTGGAGTTCGAAGTGTATGGACATGTACAAGGTGGAGTGTCCATTTCCTATCTAGTAAAAACTGCACAAGCGTTCGTCTTTCCAAACGTAGCCCAGTCGCTATTGCCATGGGCTAAAAATAACTCTTATACCGTAGCTCGGCATTTGGATGTCCTTGGCTTTGTTTAATGCCCACAAAGTAATCGAAAGACAAAGTAATTATAGCTGGCAATGTTTGTATAATCGACAGGCTTGAATTTCACAAAAGACACGCGCGATCGTTGCACCAAAGCAGGAATTACAGGTTGGGTGAAAAACAGTAAACAAGGGACGATCGTGGGCAAAATGCAGGGCGCCAAGGTGGAGGTGGACAAAATGTATGTAGCCTATGCATTACTAATCTTACTGATTTACTAATGTTTCCATTTCGAATCTAGGATTACTTGGCTGTCTAGCGAGGGTTCGCCAGGCTGCCAAATTGAGCGATGCGAGCTGCGAAATCAAAGCAATTTAAATCGACTGGATTATAAAGACTTTGCCATTAGATTTTAAAATGTTGTACAGCCTAATAGTTATTGTGTTTGTTTTCTTTTTGTGCACTATTTTGATAAGTTTCTAGAGGTGAATAAACGATTTTCAATCCAGAAAATAAAACACTACGACGCACATATGAATTGAAATCTATTTGGGTTTCAATACATTAGAGTAACATACTTCATAGCAACATTTTCATGTCTTATACTATATCTGCTAGACCTAGAATTTGTTTAGCACGACTGGAAACGACCGGCGGCCTTCATGCGCTCGAAGGACTTGTTGGCGTCATATTTCCTGTAACAAAAAAATAACACGGCCTTAAACTGACACCCACAACTGTTATTGATTTTAATACGCACTGGTAGAACTCAGCATAGGCAGCCTTCTTTGGGTCGTTGACTATGATCTTAAAAGCAACTGTTATAATTGCAGTTAGTCCAAGCGCTACGGCCAGATTGCGCTTGATGGTCGCATTGTGCAGACCACGCAGGACGGGTCCGGCGCTGCTGGAGGTTGCTGGAGTGTTGGCCATGTTAATGTTACGGTAACTGTAAGTAAAATTTTCACTGGTGAGTTGTTATGTAACATATTGATGCGAAAAAGACACTTGGGAGGAGATCTATTGGCATTCATTAGTTCGTTCAATGAACTTGTCAATCTTAATTTGATCGTAATATTTACTTTTTTAGATAAACTGAAAATATAGCGCAGTTTTAAATGCGATTAAAGTTATTTTACTCACTTTTGCAGAGAATATTCACTATTAATGCTGCCACACTATCAAAATATTGGAAAGTGCTGCCACACTACGCAAAAAAAGGCTGCCACCTCACTTAAATAATATAATTTTTAATAGAATATGCAGTATCTTGTGAATTACTTATTTCTCCCAATATCGGAAGCCGATATATATATATATATCTACGTTAAATCACTCATTTAAAAATTAAATTTTATATACTAACGTATCAACAAATATATTTTAAATCGTTAGCTACTAAGCATTTAAAAACTAATGCTATTTTTACTTATAAAATTAAAAAAAAAAAAATATTTGTATATATTGAATTTTGAATAACTTCACTCTTCAAAATGTAATACCACAAATTAAAAATGTAAAACTTCATTCAATTTAACAAAAATTGTAAATACATAAAAAAGACAATGTTAATTTTGTTTCTTTGACTTGAAAATTCTTAAGATATATGTGCGGGCATTTTTAGCACATTTTGAATACAAATATAAGGTTAACACTGACTGGAAAATAAAAATGGCTACCACTAAAGGCGAATGCAAATGGCGGTTGTTATTGTTCGTGGAATTGCAATAATTACGAAGATTTTTTTACAAAATAAACAACAAAAACACTACACTAATGAAATACCAATAGGCTTAAAATCAAGTAAAAATATTCTGTTAACTGCTTGTATAGTTATAAACTTTTTATCCGCTCGTACGTCGGTTAAATCAACACCACAAAATTTTGTTCAAACGCAAATTGTGAGGAGAAAAATATTCAACGCCAGTGAAAAGCAATATTATTTATTTTCAATGCATAAAATGAACAACTGTGACACCACAATAATTCACTCCAAGCTGTGAAAAGTGCATTATAAATTTTGCAAATAGTGATGCGCCCAATTTCAAGCAATTATCTGCATTGAAAAACGTTGGAAAAACTCTCAACCATAAGTCCGATTCAGCTAGCAGAGGAGCGCCCAACTGCTGCCCGCCTTCACCCGCACTCCACGTTGTCTTTACATCGACAAAAAACGCGTCGGAAAAGAAACAAGATGCAGAGGTTAAAGTTAAATATAATAAAGTAATAAGTTAATGCTATGCTCCTTTTATATATGTCTATACATATATATGTATATAGGCAGAAGTGCTGACAAAGACAAAAATAACAACAACGGCGTTTCAGTTACAGTTACACTGCATAACGTGAGCGAAAAAAAAAAAACAATACAAAGTGTGTACAAGGCGGTAAAAAAAGTGTTTGAACCTGTGTTTTCGTGTCATAATTTATAATATTAACAACAACGATAAGAAGCTTGCAATAGTCGAAAATGTGCGCGAAGCAAAAATGCAATTGCTTAAATACAAAGGACGATTTAATGCGCGTCTTATAATTTGGAAAAAAAATACGAATTTATCAAATGCCCACGATGATGATTTTGATACGCATCCGTGTTTATAGAAATAGTTATAGCAAGAATTGTGTGTGCATGTGCTAAATGCAAAATTTGTGCAACACTTTGCCAATTAAATCTACGACGGGTACGATTGCCGTGTGATGATATGCCACTTAAACAGGTGAGTACAAATTGACGTGTGAATGTAATGCAATTACTTTCTTCCCGACTCACTTTCTTCCGTAATTATGTCCGCTTTACTGCTTTAAGTTTTATGTTGCCGCAAACTTTGCCAAAACAGCTGATTTGCGATTACTGCATTTGTTGCGAGTAAAGAATTTAGAGGTGGTGGGGTCGTGGTTGTGGTCGTGGTCGCGGTCTCCTATTAAACACTTGCGTCACCCACGCTGTTTTCATTTACAGAAAACACGGTTTTGGACGTGTCATGCGTTTAGAGTATCTTTGTGTGTGAGTGTATGTAGTTCTTTTTTTTTTTGTTTTGTGATTTTATTTAACGGTGGGCAGTGTAAGGAACGAAGGTGGCCACAGTAGTATTTTGGTTACCTTATTCTTTCCCCTCTCACACACAACCCTTTTAAAGAGTCCGAAGAAAAATGGCGACGGGGTATCGATAACATAAGACTAAAATGAGAACGTGAGCAACCTGTCCGCACAGGAAATTTAATTTTTGTTTGTATTTGTATTCGAAGTATTGTGGGAACGCTTAAGACACAGACAGTTCCCATTAATTGCAGGCATTAGATACTTGATACGAAATAAAATCCATAAAAAATTTCTGTTGTTGAAATAAATTGTTGTTGGAATTTCCAACAAGTCAATATAACCATCCCGCTCGCACACTGCACGAAGAACCAGCACAAAACAGAAACGTCAAAATATTTAATTGTTTTTTATTTTGTCTACCCCCGTCTAGCTCAATAATTAACAAAAAATAAATTGTTACATTATTGTCGATTAAATAAGTAATAAATTACTTTTAACAGAAATATTTTTGTTTACTGTGTGCATATACACAACGACCATCATAAAAAACATTTTGTGACGGCTATTAAACAGGGCTGCAAATGCCAACTCAGTTTTCGATAAACGATTAATTTGAATATATCGTGAAGTTACACACCGCTAGAAGTTTCTTTGCCTCCTGCTTCCTTAAATGTATAGAATTTGCAATGCATTTCTTAATCGAATCTTCAAATTTACAGCATCTTGAACCGTCTGTGCGGATATCGGTGTCGCTCCCCTGGGATGCAGCACTACGACTGCGTCAACTGGCCGTCGAGGGCAATCCCACCTTGCGTGCGCTCGGGATTCTTTCCGTGCAGCCTGAAGGCGATTCTGTGATACCTTTAAAAGTTGGGGGACAAGATATTAAAAAAACAAAAGGTATGTATTATTAAAATTATTAGAATTTTTGAAAATGGTAATTTTTAATGCGTGATCTGAATCCAACTTTAAAGATAATTTAAACGATGGCGCAGGCGGTGCACTTGAGGCGGCTGGCACGTCTTCCAACAAAGCCGCTCACGTCGTTGGCGTTGCCAACTTGGCGACAACGCATTTGGTGGCACCAAGTTTTGATGGTCCCAGTACAAGCAAAGCGGCATATGTGCAACAACAGCAGCAACATCAACGACTCACGCAACTGCCGCAGAACGATGCAATCTCAAGCCAGCAACAATTGCAGCAGCAACGGCGAAATGTACTACCGCAGCAGAAATTAATGCAGCAGTCGCTGCCGCCGCCGCAGACACCGCCCTCGCCGTACAGTAATGCATCTACGACGCCGCCTGTTTTTAAATCACCCAACACGGTTTGTCCAATGGAAGGCAAGGTGCCACTGCTGCCTTCTCCTGCAGGTACACTTAATGTGCCAAGAGATTTTCCATTCGAAAGTATGCGACAGGCACGCGTCCTGCAGGGCAGGGATACAGCTGCAACTACAGGTGGCATGAACGCTCTTGGTCCACCGCCTCCACCTCCAATAGCTACTCTTAATCTGTTGAATAATCAAACAGCCCAGAATGGCGAGGTTATTGCGACGACAATTGTGGCGGGAACCCCCAATAAATCTCAGTTCATAAATCCGCCTCCGCCATACCCCGGTCTTGGTCCTAGTACATGCACGAGCTCAAGTTTGACTGCCCCTAATAGTAGCAATTCAGCAGTTTCTGCAACAAGTACGAAGCCCGCGCAGACTTATAATATGCCAATGTCGTCGTCAACATCTGCAACACCGGCGCCTACAACAACATCGACAGGCAGTAATAACATTGCAATATCATCACCACTCTTGGTCAATCTGCTGCAAAATGACGGCAATGCGATGTCAAGTCAAATGAAATCGCCCCAGCTAACGGCGCCAACAACACCACAGTCACCCATTGTGAGCATGAGTCCGAGTGCTCAAATGATGAACTCTAGCTCACCAATGCGTTGCTCTTCGGCCACGCCCAGTGATTTTGTCATGGGAACAACAGGTGCGCCGCACGACAATGGCAATGTGCCTAGTCCGGTAGTGCCCTCCTCTCCAACAGGTGGCGGGCCCGTAATAATGCGAAACATGCCGAGTCACCAACAACAGCAACAGCAACAGCAACAGATGCTGCTCAGTCCCAGTGGTAACGCGAATCTATATAACCAAGTGCCCGCGCCACATCGATTTCAGCATGCGGTTGCAATGCGTCATCAGCAGCAACAGGTGCATCAACAGCAGCGCCATCATCAAATGCAAGGCATACATCCGCGTTTTATACCACCCCAGCAACAGCAGCAGCAGTTTCTTGGGCAGCAACAGGCTACTGGTAAGAAAACAGTCTTCAATAGCAGGAACAGCATATATCTGAATGTTTTTTTTATCTACACAGATTGCTTCTCTAACCTAAACCTGCAACAGTCGCAGCAACAATTGAGGCAGCAGCAAATCCGAGCCGGTCTACCACCACCACATCCGCAGCAACATCAGCGACTTATGAGCATGCCATTGTCTTCGCCTCAGGCGCAGCAGTTTATGTCACATGGTGGTGCTTCGCCCATTGCCCATTCACCTGCCTCCAGTCATCATTCGATGCACAGTCCGCTGATGGGTAATCATCAGGCTCCACCTCCATCACTACTTTCACCTTCAACGACGCCCAAAAGCCCACATTCGCAGCAGCTGACACAGCTTCAGCAAAAGCAAAAAGAGATGACGCCCATCTCAAATATGCAACATGCTAACCTTGTACCTGTAGCTGGCGCGGGCAATGCTCAGCTGCCACCACCTCCTGACTACAATCAGGCGGCGGCAAATTCGCGCTGGCCCGCGCTTAACAAACCGATGGATTCGGTTACTAAAAGCAGTTTCCAGGAGTTCACTCGCTATCAGATGCAATACAATCTGCAGCAACAGCAAATTAATTTAGGCAACGGTCCAGCACAGACTACGGCGGCACCTAATGCAGGAGATATGGTTCCACAGGGAACTGTAACACTGACGGGAACCGGACAACGGCAGCAGCAACAGCAGTTACCGATGCCACCGCAACTACAACAATTAGTGCCACAGCAAGCGCAGAATGTGACAAATGTTTCAAACGTTGGTCACGGCCTAAATGATCCATTAATATCGTTGTCGGATCTGGATGCCTTAACAACCAACGACTTGGACGCTTTACTGCCAACTCTAAACTGTGATCTAGACTCAACGCTGAGCCTTGAGGATAAGAACGAACTCGAATCGTTGCTTCAGGATGCCAAGGACCTAGACTTGGACTTGATCGAGGATAATTTGTCTGCGGTCGGTATGGATGTTGGAGATGCGCTAAGCACGCTTCAGGATGCGTCGGGATGCATAGAACAACCACAGCCCCAGCAACAACAGCAGCAGCAGCAGCAACAAACTCAAATGCTGGACATGCAGTCGTTCAACCAGCAGCAATTACTGCAGCAACAGCAACATCAACATCAGCAGAGACATCAACAACAATTTAATCAGTTGCAACAACAACAACAACAGCGACAACAGTTGCATCGGCAAATTCAGCATCAACAAGTGGCACATCGCACCCAACAACAGCATCAACTCCAAATGCAACAGCAGCAGCAAGCAGAAAATACAAGTGCACAAGCTGCTGCCCAAAAGAAACTGGCGCAAATGCACCAACAGCAGCAACAACGTCCAGGAAATATGCAGCAAAAACAATTCATCATAAACCCTCACACCGGTGACATGGAGCCTATGGCTAGTGACGATAGTGATACGGAGGCCGAGCAGGAAACAACGCAACTTCAATTTTGCAGCATGTCAAGTAGCCTGAGTGGTTATGCGGGCTTTAATCCTGCCAATGATATGATGCTACCGAACAACCTATTTTCTGAGGAAGACTCAAATTCTGCAATGTCCGGTCAACAGCTTCCGTTAGCGGGCAGCAGCGATCAGGAGAGATCTCGTGATTCGCTGGCCTCTAACAAATCCACATCGAATCGATCGAGAAAAATGCCGCAGCTTAAGCTGAACCATAACAACCAGAACCAGCAACATCAGCAGCAGCATCAACCTGTTAACCAGAAGCAGCAAATAATGACTAACTGCCAACCAGTGCAAATACAACAGGTGCAAATGCAGTCCACCACGCCAACCGGTGACTCTCCTCGATCGGGCAACAGCTCTCCGTTGATTGCCACCGTCGGAACTACGACAGGCAATAGTAAGAAAGCTAAGCCAAATCTTCTTCGGGAAAAGTTGCAACAGGGGGTGAAGGAACGGAAAGCCAAAGACGCAACAACTGGTACTCCAAAGCCGAAACGAGAACGTGCTAAGGGGAATGCTAGGGCCAAGGCAGCAGCAGCAGCTGCAGCAGTGACGGTGTCTACTGCAGCTATTGAAGATGAGAAAATTAAGTTGCGACTCAAACTAGAAAAAGGGGATTTACCACAAGCGTCTTTCGATCAGCAGCATGCTCAACTTAATGCCATAATGGAGAGTAATCATTTGCAGCAGCATCAACAACTTCCGATGCAAACGCAACTTTTGGCTCTACCTGCGCCGCAGCTACATCAGCAGCAACATCATCAGCAACAACCGCAGCTACAACAGCAGCATCAACAGCAGCAGCAACAGCAGCATCAACAGCAGCATCAACAGCAGCAGCAACAGCAGCATCAACAGCAACATCAGCAACAGCAGCAACAACAGCAGCAACAACAACAGCAACAACAACAGCAACAACAACAGCAACAACAACAATCCCAGCAGCAAAATCATACAGTGTACAGTAATTTCCAAAATCAGCAACAAATTGGTCCACAACAAACAGTTGCTGTAGGACTGAGTGAACCCCGCGTACCGCCGCTACAAATTCGTCTGCGAGGCAAAAACTCTGTGGTTGTAAAAAATACACGCAAGGACCGCAAGAAAGCACCGGCTTCAGAGGAAGCACAAAAGGCTCGGCAAATAAAGCGTACTTTCAGCGACCAGGAGACAAATCAGCAGCAAACAGTGGAGGGAGCAACAGAAAGCAAACAGTCTAAATTAACGCCTGTGCCACATGTTAATGGATTACCAAACTCTGGTATTTTATTGCAAAAGACACAGCAGCCACCTCCGCCGCTACCGCCACAATCAGTTCATCCAGCGCAACAATTGGCAACAGGTGCTAAGACCACAACGATTGTGGCCGGAAAGAACGGGCTTACTATCAGTGCCATTGTTGAGGCACATAAGTCCCAAACCGGGGATGGACAGCTGGCGACCGTGGGATCTACGAACACAGGTACGGCGACGACGCTCCAGCAACAACAACAGCAGCAACTGAGCAAAATTGCAACGTCGCTGCCAAGTAGCATAACTTTAAGTGCTATAACAAGTACCACAACCACCAACAATAATAATAATAATAATAGCAACAATAATAACAACATTAATACTAGCAACAGTAGCAGCAACAACAGTCGCATGCTAAGCAACATAACTCTCAAGAATCCCATTAAGACTGCAGCTACCATAACGCCCATTGTGGGTGGAAAGCCAATGACAAAAAACCATAAGCCGCCGCCGCCATACATGACTGCTGTGCAACAGGTGAATTTACAGAAGCAGCAACAGCAGCAGCAGCAGTTACAGAAGCAACAACAGCAGCAGCAGCAGTTACAAAAGCAGCAACAGCAGCATCAGCAACAACAACTGGCGGCGGCCGTAACCATGCTGCCAAGTGCGACCACGCTTAAGCGTGTCGAAATCACTAAACTGGCGCCAAACAGCGCCGATACAGCAACAATAACAGTCACCACACCCTCGCCATCGACGCCAACAGCGACAGCAACATTGTCAATGCTTGGTGAAAGAAAACTGCCGGTGGCAATTTCGATGAACTCCAACACGATGCTCAACAATGTCAGTGAAAATGCAATTGGTAACACAAATGTACCTATAATGACGTCGGGACATCCAAAAGTGAACCATGTAGCTCTACAGACAGTAGTCAATTCGACAAGCGTCACGTCGTCACCGACACCAACACCGGCTTCTGTTCTAGCGAGCACTCTGCGAAACTCACCGGCTAGCAACGGCAGCGGCACTCCCGGTCATGGCAACAATGGCGGCGGCGAAGACAGTGGCATTGAGTCAATGGATGCACTCTCTGAAAAGAGTCCACACCAGCAATCATCCAGCAGTCCCATACAAATGCAGCAGCAAATGATAACAAAACAAGCAACAAGTACAGCATGCACATCGACAACAATAACGCAGTCTGCATCAGTTGCATCAGCGGTAACAACACCAAGCAGCGGCAGCACTAAACTTCAACAGCTGCAGAACGCCGATGATGAAATTGAAAAGGCGCTTGCCAAAATGGAGGGCGAATTCCCGGAAGAATTTGTGGCCACTGTACGAAAGGAAAATGCAACTTCAAACATTGGGGGTGATTTTCATTTGACAACAACCACCACGAAACTAAATGGGGAGCATGCTATATTTGAACACGATGATCTCATAAAGAAGCTTACGGACAATTTAGAATCGGAGGATATGAAAAAGCCGTTGCCTACACCAGCTGCAGAGGTGGTAGTAGCAACCGTAGTGGAACCCAATGCGGATATTAAAATAAAAATAGAAAACATCAAGTTGGAGGAGCTGCCTACGGCAGTGGCCCCTAAAAAAGAGACTGCAGAACTGGATAATCGGCAAACGAATATCCCATCTGTTAAGCAGGAACCCGAGCCCGAACAAAATCTCGTATCCATACCGGTTAAAGAAAATGAGGTAGTCGATGAAAAAGAAAAGCCTCAGACTGAGTCACTACAACCTATATCGATTGAGATACCCCCTCAACTGGATGCTGAAACGCCACGAATTAGAACGCGCGCTACTAGTCGTCTAGAAAGTCCATTAGATGCTCAAAAAAGCAGCCCAGAAGTACAACAGACAGCTGTAGTTATTACAACTACAGCGACAACGGCAGCAACAACAACAGTACCTAATAGAAACGTAACGCGTGTGACGTCCATCCCGAGTCCTCGATTGGGAACGACAGCTCCAGTTCATAATAACAACAATAATAATAACACCAGTATCAAGCGTCGCCGGCAGGAGTCGGAGTGTGGCAGCAGCAATGATGGAGCTATTGATACCAACCTTCTCATTGAGAGTAGCAATAGCAACAAGCGCACGCGTGTCAGCAGTGGCAGCAGCAGTAGCAACATAAATAATAATGCCACGGAGACTACAGAATCAACTGGGCTTAATTACATGATATCCAAGAAGGTCGAGGTCGAGTCTTCTGACTCGGACGAGCCTCTTATTGAAGTAGCGGGCAAGGTGCGCAATTCAAAGGCTCAGGTAGAAGAAAAGCACGTGACTCGACGAAACGCCCAGCAACAAGTACAACAACAGCAGCAGCAACAAAGTAAGTATACTGAAAATGCAACTTTGCTGAGTTACTATTTTGGTTAGTTATTCCCGGCCATTTTACAGAAGCTCCTAACTTGAATGCCACACCCACTCCGGCACAGAAGACAGGCAAATCACAGCCTACTGCAACGAACAACAACAACAATAGTAGTGCGACCTTACAAGCGGTTAGCAATGCAGTAATTGCTGGAACATCAAATAACAACAATAACAGCACAAATGTAGTACATGCAACACGTGGCGCAACAGCAGCGGCTGCCACCAGTGGCACTAGCAGCAACAACATTTCTAATAACAACAACATTGTGAACGCCAATTCTCCAACAGACGAAAAGATTGGTACGAGAAGGAGTGTAAGAGCGAGCGCTGCTGCTAACAAGATTATATATAGTCGAAGCAATGCAGCCGCTGCTGCAGCTGCTGCTGCTGCAGCTGCAGAGCATAAAGGGACTCCAAATAAAACTGGACCCGGGGCCACCGGAGTAGTGAGTGGTGTCAACAATTCAAATACAAACGCCAGTATAGAGAGTGTGGCTGAAGCACGGCGAAAGACGCGCAGTGCAGGTGAGTTGACAGCGTTAGCAACCGTAAATTAAAAGAAAAATATTATAAGTTTGAAACTTTTAGTAATTGGTGAATCCACGCTGACCGAGGGACGTAGAAGAAGGACTTCGCGTGATTACAAGTGACCAGAGTTTTGCGCCTTGGCTAAGGGAATTAACCATACGAGCGATGCTGACGACGACGAATTGATTAAGCTGATCGAACTGGATGCTGCGGATCGGTTTGATATCAGCACCAGTTTCCCATTGGCCCAGGCGCACAACGTCGAAGACGACGTCGAGGAGAATAGCAGCGTTAATATCGATATTGAAGATATAAAAGAGGATATCGTTAATATCTCTTCAGCGCTGACACTCATCGGAACAGCAGACAAAAGCGCCCTTGATTACCTGGAGGAGACAGATGAGGCTGATAATTTGCATCTAATGACTTACCGAAACAGCAGCGAAGCGGACGCTGAAGTGAATGTGGATGCGGTTAGCCTTCTCATGCCAGATCTGAGCAATGCCACAGCTTTAGACTGCGGCAATTTTGTTGACTACGATGAATTCAACATGTGTCTGAACAACATTCTTAGCGATAAGGATGATCAGGAGCTCAGAGACTGTGATGCAAACGGAAGTGCTAATGTGAATAGTGGCAGACACTACCAGCAGCAGCAACAACAGCAGCAGTGGCGGGATGTTAACGAGGTTCTTAACATAGTACCGCTGCGTTTTCAAGAGTTTGCAACTGAGGCAAGCATAACTGGCGATGATCGGTCCGCGAGCAGTAGCTCCTCACAAATGGCATAACAGCGTCGCTTTGATAAACAATTGTTCAAAATACTTATTTCTGCAGTTATGTAAATAGCTTAGACTCACATACAAACAGACAAAAGCCAATTCTTTCGTTTGTAAAAAGTTTTTGTAAAGGTTTTTTCCTTGAATTTTTTTGTATAGTTAGTTGTATTCAAAGGTTGCAATAATGTTGCATCTCAAAACGAGCAACATCACACTCACTCACATATATATATCCGTGTTTCACTTAATTTCTGATTCGGAACTTCTCTGCTTATTTAGCGCTACTTTCCATAAATCCAACTCCAAATATCCCTTGGTTAATAGATTTGCTAGTCAAGTGAAACAGACAATTTGTGTAAAGATCAAAAACATTTATTGAACAAATTAGTTGAAAATTAAAAACACGCAAAATTTATAAAAAAAAAAAAAAACAAAAAGAAACAGAAAAACATACAAAACAAACACAAAAATAGTAGATAACCCCGACACCTTGCTCTATGACGCATGCGTATTTTCATTTCTCATCTAAGCCCTTGTATATACTTTAGACATAATTCTAATAGATGCAACACAGTTAAACACATTTTTAGAAAAGGTAAAAAAATAATCTAATGTTTATCTTTATGATCCAAGCTTAACATAGAAAAACAAACAAAACAGACCATACTTCTTATTTTTATTTTATTATATATCTAGGTATATGCACACGAAATACAGATATAGTCTCTATAGTTTTATATGCATACATTTGCGTTGTTTCGAAAAAAAATTTGTTTTTTAGTTTTAAAAGCTTTGTTGTAAGTCATATACATAATATTAACAAAAAATCCTCTACCAATACATATGCACATATAAACCTCTGCAATAAGTTAGTCAAGGAAAAACACGATAAGAAACGTGTATACCAGAGAGAAATATATAAAAAGTGTTTGTAGTTTTGCAAAGCGAATGAAAATATGTATATACTTATATACAAAAAAGAAGATTAAAAACGTATATAATGTTATATATTTTGCATACACAAAACAAGAACAAAACAGAAAAAGAAAAATTTAAGAAAAAAGAAACGAATGCAAAAGTTGTATTGTATATAAAGCAGGCTCTATTTTTGCTAAATGTTATTTAAACAAATAGGGGAAAACAAAGATGCATAGCAGAAGCAAAGCGCTAAACAAACACATTAAATAAATAAAAATAATAAATAAATATTTCTTTAAACGCATACATATATATTGTTCAATATTATTATCTTATGTGTATTGTATGATTGCTAATTAAATAAGTCTTTTGATACTTTGTACATGTTTAATTTAATGAAAGAATGAAAAGAAAAGAAAACTTATGTAAAACCACGACCCCTAGAATAACATGCATATATAGTACCGATATATGTATATATTATATCTCTGAAAAACATATATAAAGCAAATTCGTTTATGCATACAAAACCTCATTAAAAACAACCATGGATGTCAACAATTTTAAGCATATTTAGTAAAGTTTTCACATGTTTCCCCACACAAATTTCACAAATATTAAAACAAAACTCAAATTTATTGCAATAAACAAATGCTAATGGCAAAATTGTATAAACATAATTCTTATATTGCCAATACCAATACCAATACCAATACACACAAATTCATGCAACAAAGACATACACTCACATACACCCACATAAATAAAAACAAATAAAAAACAAAACAAAACAAAAAAATTAAAAATATTAAAAAGCAAATGCATTCAACAACACAAGATGAAGAACAACAAAAATAAAAACGAAAGTGTCTTAAAACGTAGTATTAGAAGTTTATTATTAATAATTTGTTTGTACTTTAACTTTAAAGTAAAAAATTATTTATAGAAAAAAAAAGAAAATACAAAGATTTAATATACACAAAAATTAAAAAAAAAATGCATTCATGTGTATGATTTATTTATTCGCTGATTTAGGTCAACAAATTGTATATTTTTATAACATGCAACCATCAACGAGACTTTTACTGCAAGCCAAATAAACCCCAATACGTCCCTCCTTAAGAACACTAAGGTTCGATTCTTCACTTACGTGTTCTTATTAGACTTATTTTGTGTACTTCTTATTTGATTCTTGTAGAGCATAAATGATTTCAGCATATAAACTATATGCTTACTGTTCAATAATGGGCTGATCGGAATACTTTTTGTATAGCTGAGAGAAAACAAAATTTGGTTTTTGTACTTAATTATATATTAGATTTTCCTCTAAAATTTATGTTTTAGACTCGGAATATAAAAGATTTCCTGTAGGCCAAACATATTAGCAGAATTTTTTTTTAATAATGCAGGTCAAGTCGACTTAAAATTTTTAGATATTTGACTGCTGAATCCGTATCCACAACTGGAGAAATAGTTCGTTAAAACGGACTTAACGAAAGTGTGACAAAGAGAGAGAGAGAGTGTGTTGGAGAGGGGGACGTACATTCAACAGATGATATCTTAGAGAGAAAACAAAGTTTTTAAAAACTTTAAATGGGTTTCTAAAAAGGAAAAGAATAACAAATTCTGGTACAGAACTTAAATACGTATTGTTGACACTTTTAAATTGGAATATTTTTTTCATTATATCCGAATTCGAAAACCTCTTTTCTACGTTACGACACACTTTTAAGACATTTCAATTTCGTGGGCTGTTAGTATGTACAATTGAAAGTTAATAATTTGTTAAAAAATTTCGCAATAATAAAAGAATCTTTACACTTTAATCTTCATTTGCTCAAAATGATGACGTGATAGGAAAAAGTAGGTTTTAGGAAAATTTGGTTTGAGGAATCATATTAGTCTACTCAAGAAGCAAAGTTCCTGTTGCATAGGGCAATTAGTGTTTGGCACAAATTATTATATTATTATATTATATTAAAATATATTTTGTTCTTTGCACTCTGATGTTAAATAAAAGAAAATTAGGAAAATATTAAGTTGAGCTGAGTTGAGTTGAGTTCCACTTGTCGGTAGGCATCACGAGTTGCTTCAATAGCTGCTCTCACGGCGTCTGCGCAGGAGGCAAGGGCAATGCCATAGGCCGTGCTCTAAAGTAGCATAGGCAACCAGCTAAGGGAGCAAAAGCCAGCGGACAGTTAAGTATGAGTTGCCGTTAGGAGCAGCACGGCAAAGCTGTCCGGCACAGGACATAGGAGAACGCAATAAATTGAAGACCTCACATAGGTGGGCACATTAAGCAGCAAGTGGTGTATGCTCGCGAAGCTCCACTGTAAACGTGCTCCCCCGACGCGAGTAAAACAAAGGTATATATAGGGCATCAAATACATATTTCAATTTTTGCATCTGAAATATCTGCGAAACAGTCTAAATCCATTCTCAAGTTCTCAAGTGCTGTGAAAATATTTGTGTACAAGCGCCCAGAGTTTGAAGTTCCGCCCTAATTCATTACAAATCTGTTAAAGCAACATATATGTATATATATAAATTTCTGTATATCTATTATAAACTGTGCTGCCTAGTGTTATTGCATATTTGTTTTAAAGGACAAGTCGAATAATAACCAAAACAAAAGCAAATGTTGACACTCATGAATGACGTCCTACTTTTCGAGTCGCATATATATTTATCTATATATGTATATGCATGTGTGTGTGTTTGCGTCTATGTGTGTATTAGTGAATGTTTGATGTATGACGTCGCCATAGATGGGGATGGCTAGTGGGCTAACGGGTGGTATGCTCCCCTCTCTGCTGGAGACCGGTTCAGTTTTATAGCTTATTAACAACTCTATTTATAAGTCAAATATATTTGCTAATATTTTGAGTATAACGTAGCAATTGGTTCTATGGAGCTAGCCGAAGTTTTAAGATCTTTAATATGTGAGCTCGACAAGTTCTGGTGTTAGAGTCTGATTATTGAGTTAGCATTTCAAGTGAAAGCGTATATTGATTCTGTCTGTCCGTATGAAATCTTAAACATATATTTAGCACCCTCTGATTATAGTATTTAGCTTTGCCTATATGCTTACAATGGGTTTGATAAGTCGGGAAATGCCTTGCCTGGCATGTCAGAAACGGAGACTAGAGAAACTTAGAACATCTACTGGCGTTCACAGCCTAGATCAAAAATATAAATATCATATATCTACGCCTATATATTTGAGGTTGTATCTGTTCTATTATTTTTTTTAAGAACTTTTATGATAGAAATGTGCTCGGGTGTATAGGGATGAATTTTATTGCCACAGCTATGGAGTCAGCCCCGACATTAACTGTACAATGTAAAATGTACATTACTGTCAAATGCCTTCTAAGGATTACTTAGAGACACTGGAGGTCTGATACTGTATTATAAATATATTATATTAATTATGCATAAAAAAGAATTTGATTTATATAAGTTGAATAAATGTTTATCCTTCCAATAATAGTAGAAACATATGTAAAACAAATTCTCTGTTATTGCTATCCGCTCTTTACAACACAGTTGAGCCTATTCAGAGACTTGTAACATGTAGTGGCTGCCGTGTGGTGGCTAGCGCAAAAGGGATCTGGACTCCACAAAAAATGCACATCCGCCTGTGGTCGGGACGACGCCTGCATACGTACCTGAAAATAGGCACCTTTGTGTTGGTGGGCGTCTGTTACTTTGCCTTTCTGTTCCGGGAGTCGCTGAATGCGTTCGAGCATCGGGAACGCGCTACAACCGCTGACTTGGAGGCATCCGAGGCATACGCCGAGCCGTCGAAACAGCAGCTGAAGCTCAAGCGCCAACAGCTCCATCGCCAACGTGCTCTTGCCCAGCAGCGCCTCAGAGCCAGCCAGCAAGCAAATGGCAGCTCCGCAATGGCCGAGGAGGTGCAAAACGTCGTCTCGGCAAGCACCTTGAATCCCGTCTACGAGTACTCCGAGGAGCTGCACAGCCGCACTGAGCGCGAATTAAAGCTGCGGCGCGATCACTTGGCAACTGTCTGTGAGCGATACAAGCTTCAAGAAAAGTACCCACCGAATCCATGGGAATTCTTCATTTCGCCTGGCCATAACAACCTGGTGTGGTGCAATGTATTCAAGGCAGCCAGCAGCACGTGGATGTACTACTTCAATATACTGGGTAAGTAAGCGAGAGAGTGGAGAGAGGAGGAGGGAAGAGAGGAGAGAGGAGAGAGGAGAGAGGAGAGAGGAGAGAGGAGAGAGATAGAGGAGAGTACAGAGAGGACAGAGGAGAGAGGAGAGAGGAGAGAGGAGAGAGGAGAGAGGAGAGAGGAGAGAGGAGAGAGGAGAAAGGAGAAAGGAGAAAGGAGAGAGGAGAAAGGAGAGAGAAGAGAGGAGAGAGGAGAAAGGAGAGACGATAGAGGAGAAAGGAGAAAGGAGAGAGGAGAAAGGAGAGAGGTGAGAGGATAGAGGAGAGACCTTATTAGAGACCTTAGGAGAAACCTTAATAGAAACCTTATTAGACCCCTTAGGACTGTCCTTAGGAGAGAGCTTAAGAGAGACCTTAGGAGAGATCTTAGGAGAGATCTTAGGAAAGACCTTAGGAGAGAACTTAGAGGTCTTAGGAAAGACCTTAGGAGAGACCTTAGGAGACCTTAGGAGACCTTAGGAGGCCTTAGGACACTTTGGGAGACCTTGGGGGACCTTGGGGGTAAAATAAGAAGAAGAGGAAAAGATGAAATGAGTTGAGAAGAGGAGAAGAATGCAAGAGAAGAAAAGAGAAGCGAAGATCACAGGCGAAAAGAGAAGACTCTGAACTTGACTACAATATTGTCGTCTCTCATAATTTTCCGTTTCGTTAACATATTCTCATTAGCGGGCTACGATCTGAAGTATCTGCAGCGAACGGAGGTTCAGCCCCTGGAATTGGCCCGTCAACGTTTCCCCCGCCCTGAGCTATCCGAGTTGGTGGAGCTGCTGCCAAGCGCGTTGTCTTTTCTGTTTGTGCGCGATCCCTTCGAGCGCATCCTTAGCGCCTATCGCAACAAACTGGAGGGCAATCGCAACAGTTTCTACAGAGCGCTTGGCACCAAGATCGTTCATCGCTACCGTCGCCGCGGCATGAACGTGGTGTTCCCCCGTTGTGGACCCACCTTTGAGGAGTTTGTGCGCTTTCTCATTCAGGAGCATGCGGCGGGCAATCGCTTCGACGAGCACTGGGCTCCCGTCTACAGTTTCTGTACGCCATGCAGCGTCAACTTTACGATCATCGGGAAGACGGAGACATTTCAGCGCGACTCCGAGTTTATCATAAGGCAGGCGGGATTGGAGTCGCTGCTGTTGGGAAAGCTGCCACGGCGCAAGCTGCGCAAAATCGGAAATCAGGCACGCAGCGGTGTCAAGTCAGAGGAACTGATCGAGCGCTACTTTGCCGAACTCGATCGACCAACATTGGACCAATTGCTCAATATATACCGCATCGACTTCGAGCTCTTCGACTACGACTATCTCAAGTATTACAATATGGTGCACTCGTGGGGCTTGGAGCAGAGTACAGCCACAGCGAAGAGTGGCCCACGAGCTGGCACCGAAACTCAGATAACAACAGCGGCGACCACATCTCTAAGAACAGCTGCGGCTCCAGCAGACTGAACAGAGATCTAGGCAGTCAGCCAAGCCAGAAATATAGAAATATATATAGCTCATATTCGCGAAAAGAATCTTATTTATGTACCTTTTACACAGCGAAGGATCAGACCGTGCAGAGAAACCGTAACCCAACCGAAACTATATGTAAAATGTATTTATTCTCCCACTGAGCAAGGCCAAATCAATGTTTTCCAACAACAACCAAACGAATCACAACACTTTTCGACCTCTCTTGGGCAATGCCAATGCAAGGAAAGCAAAAACCAAATGTAGATAGAATGACTAATTTTTATGCATTTTTCAGCAGTCTTCAAACACCCACACACACGCCACACATGACATGGAGTGTTGCACCTTTTTAGGTGCACTACTCAATCGATCTAGACACTTCTTATAGTTAGTACAAAGTACAATTTACAGTTAATATTCGAACTTCTCACACATATTGTTTACCTTTAAAAAAACACCGACCTCTATACGAATATCTCGCCTGCTGTTTTTGAAAACGAACAATTTTATGCAAAACAAGACATATTTACATATATATATATACAAATATATATATATATATATATAAATATATATATATCTATATAAATAAATATTTACAATAAAAGTATTTACAACCTCGTCACCTTCCCTCTAACATTAACTCTAAGATTCAGAAGCATTCTTAGGTGTATGTAAAGTTTTCTTCTCTTACATACACACATACATCCTTACATACTTACATACATCCATATGTACATATGTACACTTGGCATATGCACTTACATCTATGAATTTTATAAACAGGTCTTCATCAACGTTTTTACCTTTTGGGGACTGGATGGGTTTTTTCCTATTCTAACAAAATCTAAACCAAAGAAAATTAAAATAAAAAAAAATTACATTTTTGGTAAATGTGTCAAAAAAAACAAAAAAAAAGGACAGCGAAAAACAAATCTGCAAATATTTACAGTAATAGAAAAAACAAAAAAAAAAACTATAAACTTTTCATGTGATGTTTAAAATTAACATATATACACACATATACATGTAAATACTATACGTATATAAACAATATTTAAAAAATACAAAAGAAAACCTTTACTAACTTTAATTATTTTGGTGTTGTATATATATATATATATATGTATGTATGTATATATATACATAACTGTAACCAAATCGAGCAACAAACTTTAATTACGAATCAACGATATTATTCTACTTATTTCGTTGCGAACCAAATACAAATCTTAACTAATAAAAAGTCTTTCATTTTGTGAGAATGCATGAGATTTTATTTATAAATATTTAATTTAATTCGAAATTTACATTTCAGAGAGGTAGCTCAAAAATTTTGTGCAGCCGGGCGTATTCGACTGCATTACACTCGTCCAACTATATTTTATAGAACATGCCTTTATAAATCTTGCTAGTGTTTTACTTTTTTTTAAATATGTTTATTATTTTAATTTATTTTATTTATTTAATTATTTCATTGTCTCAGCTAAAAGTTAAACTAAAAACGATGCTCAATAGCCTAGTAAAGGCATCACAAGGAGATATTGCATTTGTCCGATAGATCTGCTATGCCCCACTTCACAGCTAAATATAGTCAGTGATATTATTGAATTATGCTGAAGTTGGAGTATGCTAAGGGTAAGTTAAGAGAGTTACTATTTTAAGATATCTTAAGTTTCGCTTGAGGAAAAGAAGCAAAAGCAAAGAAAAGATTAGTTGGGGAAATGACTAATAATTTCGCAGTTTAGCAAGCTATGCCTCTGCTCACAGCTGGACACGCAGTCAATCATAATCCACGACTTTATTGAGTCATGGGAAAGCTCCAATCCCAGTGGCAAGTGCAACGAACGAAAGTGCTCGATTGGCCTAGGAAGGACCAAAAAAATTAAGTCTAGCCCTGAGAGCTAATTGGAGTCAATGGTGATCGAGTTATATTGGCAATATCAAGGATTCAAGGACGATTGATCAACGATGCAAGATCAAGTAGAAGGAGCGCACTATGAGAATTGCGATCACAGTTTAGAACGCATAAGGCAAAAAGCAGAAACTGCCTTAGGACCAACTCAATGAGAGGCTGATGCAATTTAACTACATTCCAGGTTTATCAGCATTCATCAAGACAAATAGCCGAAGGCACTAGCCCAATGTACTCCTCTCTTTAGAAGGGAAATAGCTTCAAATTGTTGTTTTTCGATTATTATTCTTTCACATTTCTACAGATGCACTTATGAGTTTATTCTGATAAATGTCATTCATTTGACCCGTCCATCAATGTACGTATGATCCCATGAGTCTCCTCTCGCTTAGACAAGTATCTCATTGACTATAGTACAAAAATATAAATCGTAAAAGCTAATATAAGAAAAACATCGTTCCTCTCCTTAATGGAGCCTGTTGAATAGCTATATCTATTTCTATATGTCCCATGAAGCATGTCAAGAGCAAACTCTTTTAAATAGCTGAGATCTCGTGGCCCAGAATATACTTGCACTTTTTCGCCATTCCGAAACCACGCAATGGTCGGCACATGCTTGATTTCGAAATTGTTGCAAATAGCTACGGCGATGGTGCAATCAAGCTCGCCCACACATAGGTCATAACTTTGCAGTCTGGTAGCTAGCTCTATCCAGGCGGGTGCCAGGACGCGGCAATGGAAGCAAGTGGGTGAATAAAATTTGACTAAAAACTGTCCATGTGATAGGGTCCTGGTGAATGTTCCTGGTTCAAGTGCGAATACCCTGCCAGGGTTACAAATCCTTTCATCTCTGAGCTCACGGCTCTCAACCATGCCACCATCGTGTTGTAGACCCAACACCTTCATCAGCGTGAGCAGATCGGGTGACCCATAGAGGAGTCTGTACTGCTCTCCGCGCCTCTTGAATATGCCCACAGTCGGATATTTAGTTATATTCAGCTCACTACAAAAATTTGCATACTTTATGCAGTCGATAGTTCCAACTGTGACATTTGCGTCCGATCGGTCCTCTAAGATGGCGGCAAGGTAATTCAGTCTCAGGGAACTGCAGCTCTCGCAATGGGCCACATAAAGTTCAGCCAAAAAAACCTGTCCATCTGAGGAGCTCCTCAAACTATTGGGACTAAGTGAAATCAATTCCTGCCTCAATGGTAATTTTGCTTGCACGAGCAAGGATGCCAAAACAAGAATCAAAGGCGAGCACAGATCAGTGTTACCTAACATAATTTTACAATTACTGACTCTCACAGCAAACTCAATGCCATACATACAAATTCAAGTCGAAAGTGTGCATGCTTCAAGAACATCTATAGACCAATTTGTGCGACTCCAGTGCCTGGAAACGGGGTGAAATATGCTCACAAAAAGATTTTAATCCATTTCATTGAAATAGAAAAAACCTTCGATCACTTCAAAGCAATTTAATATAACTTTGACCTAAGTCTCTAGATAGATAGATTCAGAGGTCCCTCCTCAAATGGAGGTTGTTTGATCTACAATATGAATGATCGTAGCTGTGAAGAACGACACTTCTTATTAGTTACTTAATATCTTATACTTATACTTATATTTATACTTATACTTATACTTATACTTATACTTATACTTATACTTATACTTATACTTATACTTATACTTATACTTATACTTATACTTATACTTATACTTATACTTATACTTATACTTATACTTATACTTATACTTATACTTATACTTATACTTATACTTATACTTATACTTATACTTATACTTATACTTATACTTATACTTATACTTATACTTATACTTATACTTATACTTATACTTATACTTATACTTATACTTATACTTATACTTATACTTATACTTATACTTATACTTATACTTATACTTATACTTATACTTATACTTATACTTATACTTATACTTATACTTATACTTATACTTATACTTATACTTATACTTATACTTATACTTATACTTATACTTATACTTATACTTATACTTATACTTATACTTATACTTATACTTATACTTATACTTATACTTATACTTATACTTATACTTATACTTATACTTATACTTATACTTATACTTATACTTATACTTATACTTATACTTATACTTATACTTATACTTATACTTATACTTATACTTATACTTATACTTATACTTATACTATACTTATACTTATACTTATACTTATACTTATACTTATACTTATACTTATACTTATACTTATACTTATACTTATACTTATACTTATACTTATACTTATACTTATACTTATACTTATACTTATACTTATACTTATACTTATACTTATACTTATACTTATACTTATACTTATACTTATACTTATACTTATACTTATACTTATACTTATACTTATACTTATACTTATACTTATACTTATACTTATACTTATACTTATACTTATACTTATACTTATACTTATACTTATACTTATACTTATACTTATACTTATACTTATACTTATACTTATACTTATACTTATACTTATACTTATACTTATACTTATACTTATACTTATACTTATACTTATACTTATACTTATACTTATACTTATACTTATACTTATACTTATACTTATACTTATACTTATACTTATACTTATACTTATACTTATACTTATACTTATACTTATACTTATACTTGACGGAGACGGAGACGGAGACGGAGACGGAGACGGAGACGGAGACGGAGACGGAGACGGAGACGGAGACGGAGGACGGAGACGGAGACGGAGACGGAGACGGAGACGGAGACGGAGACGGAGACGGAGACGGAGACGGAGACGGAGACGGAGACGGAGACGGAGACGGAGACGGAGACGGAGACGGAGACGGAGACGGAGACGGAGACGGAGACGGAGACGGAGACGGAGACGGAGACGGAGACGGAGACGGAGACGGAGACGGAGACGGAGACGTAGACGGATGACTGAGACTGAGACGTATACGGAGACGGAGACGTATACTGTATACTTATACTTATACTTATACTTATACTTATACTTATACTTATACTTATACTTGTACTTATACTGCTTGAGCAGAAAATATATTCAACGAGCTATAAACTAACGAAGTCCAACTGATTATAGCGCAACTCAGTGCGACTTATCCCCAAATTATATACATTGGGTATATCCGGGAATAATTACAGCAATTGTAAGGAAGGGGAATGCAGTATTCAGTATTAGCCACTGCCTATAGGCTAAGCAGAGTGGAAGATTACACCTCAGGTTGGTATATTTCTCAGCAACTGCCAGAGTATGTAATAGTCGAGTATTCCCGAGCTTCAGAGCTGAATAAGCGTTTCCATATAGTTAAATTCCATAAGACAGTGAGTTATATCAATATAAATAGTTTTATTTTCATTGATCAATAAACTTTGTATATATATATATTTGAAATTGTTTATGCTTATGTTTGCCGAGTGTCGAATCATAATTATGTTGCATATACATAGCGACAATTGCTTAGATATATGTGTGTGTATGTATTTGTTGACATAAAACTATTTACAAAGTAGCAAAGCGACATTCAGGAGTAGAACATGAATACATACATATATATGTGCGAATATCAATCAACGTTTATATATATATATCTTAGATAGTAACTAAAGGCTGCCCAGGGCAACGCTTCTTAAGCTTTCACACAGACACAACTCCTTGCCATGGATCGTCGTCTCTCCATTGCCCTCTAGGTAAACGAGCCAAAATACTTACTACAAACATCAATAAATATACGCAAGCAAGCAAGTGTGTGTGTGTGTGCGTGTGTGTGGGTGTGTGGGTGTGGCATAATAATAATTGAAACAGAGACTACATTTAAATTGCGAATATTCCAATTGGATAATTATTTCGTGCCAAAAGCCTAGTCGAACGCTTAAACATGAATTAGGTTTGGAGACGTGTTGGAAATAGTTAATGTTTTAATCTCGTATTTTAAGTAATTGTTTATATAGTATTTGCTTTGTGATCTGTGTAATAAATAGGCTTAACTAAATACAAGTTCATAATGTTTATCGCTTAGGCTTACGTATAGATTTCTATGCCTATTTACAATGATAATTTAAGAATATTTCTACAGTTCTCTGACGCAGCAGAGAAAAATCTATAATAATGTGGATATATATATATATATGTATATAAGCTGAATAGTTATTTATGTACAATAGTAAATACTTAGAAAGTGTTTCGATTAAATAATTCATTTATACATAAATATATATATATACGTGTGTGTGACGCTTAATAGCGTAAGGAAACTTAGAGAACAACAATGGGCTAACGCGATACGATATAGTGTTTTGTTTAAGAGATACATTTATAACAAATTGGAACAAGTTCCAAATAATTTTTAGGTGACTGAGTCTCCAGTATGTGTTGTGTATAAATATAGGTATATAGATATAGATATATATTCTTGTACGCATGACAAACAAAAGATATTTCAACTCCAGTTAGTTTTAGCTTTAACGGCTGCCCAACGATCTTGGCTCCGTATAAAACGAGATCTATACAATTAGCTTATCGCCTTCAAATATTTCTTGGACACGATTATACGAAACTCTACACAGAAATATCGAAAAATATGAAATAGAAACAAATTGAGTTGTCATGTAGGAGACTTCTTTGATATACATATGTGTATTCTCTATAATAGCACAGCAGAAGCTGGATATATTCTTGTGTGCTCGCCGAGTCGTTCTTCTTCTGCTACATCCACGAAGTCCGATCAGAATAACTCAAACCAAAGTCTCTGCCTTTACAAAAATATTTGTCTGTCTCTTCGCTCTCTCTCCTCCAGTACAAATCCGTTTCCACGTCGAGCAGCTTCTAGTCGCCGAGTATCATCATGCTCTTAATGCTAGCCACCTCGGACTCGAGTCGCTCCAGCTGGCTCTTCAGCATCTGATCGCGCTCAACGTTGGAGACGACGGCGACCGAGACGACGGCCTCTTTCGGGGCGAGCAGCTTGCGCTGAAACTGTGCCGTCCACTCGGCACTGGCAATGGAGATGCCAGAGTCGCGCTCGTCGCTCGAGTTGTCGCCGCCGTCGTTCCACGCTGGAGGCGAGGAGCGATTGCAGCTGGGCTCTTGCTTGATATGCTGCAGCGAGAGCAACGCCGTGGCAGCCGCATCTTTGTCGCCCAGATGCGACTTGTGGCGCAGCTTCAGGGGCAGGCAGTTGTTGGCCTCATTAGTGCTGCCGCCGTTGTGCGGTGGGCTGCTGCGCTGCAGGGGCGTCAAGTGTGCGCCGAGCGCCAGCGCATGCGGATCCGGATGAATGGTTCCGTCTGAGCCATCGTGCTCCTGCTCATCGTCGCCGGAGACGGCGCCTGACGAGGAGGCGGACGAAGATAATGCTGAGGAGGCGGAGGAGTGATGGGACGTCAGCGATGTGGTCGAGGACAGCATGTGCTCATAGCTGGGTGAGCAAGCGCGCCTGGACAGATTCAGCACGCTGGCTGCCGCCGAGCTGACGACCGAGGAGCAGGAGCTGCTCACTGCATCGACCGCACTGCTGCTGACGGCGCCCTCCACGCTGTGACTGTGCAGATAGTTAGCCTCCAGCTGGTCCTTGCTGATGGCCACATAGGCAGACGCGGGCGAAGATGCATTTACAGTTGCAGGCGTGTATATTGCAGCGCCTGCCGGTGATGCCGTTCCCACTGCGGCTGCGTTATAGAGAGCGCCAACGGCCACCACCTTGCGCAGGCTGTCCAGATCCTCGGGCCTGACGTTGCGGTGAAGCGCTTGCTGCAGCACATGGAGATTGGCAATGGCGTTGGTCGGCGGGCGGTTGTGCGTATCCATCGTGGAGGGGGCAGCGTCCTGCACCTGCTGATGGTGCTGTTGCTGCTGCAGCTGGTGGTACTGGTGTGGATGTGGATGCGGATGCGGATGCGGATGAGGCTGGGAATGAAGTGGAGCCGGCGGCGGTGGGCCATGCTGACCCACGTGATGACCGCTCTTATTGGACACTGATGTCAAGGACTCGTTGGCGCGTCCATTGGCCGCATTGACGTTGACGTTGACATTGCTATTGGGACCATAGATGATGGGCGAGAGGGGTGGGGCATTGTTGCTGCTGCTGCTGTAGCCACTGTGTGTGTGCGAGGCTGGGGAGCTGCAGCCGGCGCCGGAGGGCGAGGATCCCGAGGAGGAGGAGGAACACGAGTTGCCGCTGCTCATCTTGGCGCGCTTTGTATTGCTCAGCACCTGCTCGCTGGTGGGCAGCGAAGCGAGAATTTTCTCAACGCTCACCAGGTTCTCGCCGGATATGTTGAACTTATCGCGAATCGCATCGAGCTGCGCCTTGAGCACGTGGTTCTCTTTAGTCAACTCAATGACGCGCTGCTCCAGGACCATGTCGTTGTAACGTCGCTTCTCGCGGCTGCGCTTGGCCGCCTCATTGTTGCGCCGCCTTCGGTCCCAGTAGCTCTCGTCCTTTTTGTTATCGGGCGTGAATTCGCGCTGCTTGCGTTGCGAGAAGAGCTCCTTCTGTGCGGCGGTCAGCGTTGACTGCGAACCACCTCCGCCGCTGCTCTGTCCATTCGATTTACCCATCAGGCTGTGGCCATGGCTGTCCGTGTACGCGCTGCCCGGCACAAACTTGCCCAGACTGTGGGTGTGGCTGTCCGACATGCCGCTGTCATTTGACTGCGGGCTAATCGACCCACCGTACATGGAGAGAGGATGCACTGCAGCGGAAATTAGAAGAGTTAATAAGGCCTGTGCGTGTGGCTTGGGTTCAGGCTCAACTTACGATTTGTGGCTTCGTTGGAGCTGCCGTTCATGGACAGCGACGGCGAAATGGTTGCCAAACGCACGCTGCTCATCATGGAGCCGTTTACGGATGCAGCGACAGCGGAGGCTTTATTGTGGCTTTGGGTGGGCGTTCCTGCGAGCACCTCGGGCATTGCCGTCGGTGTCGTGGCTATCAGTACGTGCGCCTGCTCCTGCCCCAGTCGACTGCTGATCCTGTCTTCCAGTTGCTGTTGTTGTGGCTGGCTGTAAAGCTGCTGCTTGTGCTCCTGCTTCAAGTTCACAACTGCAAAGACAAATTCAATTCGATCAGTAAATGCCTCAAGTGCAAAATTGTTAACTCTTGTTTACTTTCAGTTATGCAGATATAAGCCAACTCAAGTAGTATGGGTAACACGAAAAATGAATTAAATATTTTATATTAAAAAATACTTATTAGAAAATTATATTGAATTTTAGTATTATTCAGTTTACGGCGTAAATAATTTAATTTGCTTTTATTAAACGTCTGGACCCACTCGGTCGTAATTAACACTTTTGACTGATATCTAGGCACGAATTTTACTTATTATTGGCCATATCTTATCGCTAGCTTGGCCCTAATCGCATTCGCAATGAATGTGTCAAAACAAAAGACATTGCAGCTAACGCCACACAGTCTAAAGCGATCGTGTCTGTCCAATCAGAGTATATGTACAAGCACACATACAAACACACCTACGCACGCACACACACACACACACATTCATACGTTAGTGGGCATGTCTCTCTTTGTCTGGTCCTTGGCCTTGGCTTGCCCTTACAAAATAATTACGTTCTGAGCGCAAAGAACCCACTCGAACCTAACGTATATATATATATATGTCTGTATGTGCCTGTGTATGTGTGTACGAATATCGCCCGTATGCACATTTGCTTTCATTTTTAGTGCGAACATCCATTTACACAATGATTACGGCAAATGATGCAAGAATCAGCGAATTAGACGACAGCACAACGAAAGCACAAACAACCACACGTAGACTCTCGCATGCACATCGTGACACACACACACAGGCACATGCAAATAACAATGGCAATGGCAACGTAAACAAGAAATCACACGGCGAGATTGGTCGGTCTTCTGTGTTTGTGTGCTTGTGCGCTGCCGCTGCTGTTGCTGCTGCTGTTGTTGTTGTCACCTCACCCTCACCGTGACCATCAAATTGGCATTTGCAGTTCAATGCGCTACAACACACACTCACACACAGACACTAAAATACTAACACATACGCACACATTTATTCTCGTTCCCATAAACTGGCTACTCACGTCAGCAGCCAGACGCTGCCAACGTCGCAGCCGCCGGCAACCCCTACGACTCCTACGCCGACAGCAGCTACATTGGTACAAATAAAAGCAACAGACGACGACAACAACGACAGCGACAACGACGCCGACGACGCTGTGCTGCGCTGCGCTGCTGCAGTCGCTGCTTGTGTCGAAATTCACAAAAACAACATGACTAAGCGCGCTGCTGCTGCGCTCTCTCCTCCACTCTCTCTCTCTCTCCCTGTCTCTTTATCTAATTCTCTTTATTTTGCATGAGTTTTGTTTTGCGTTGTAAACTAACGAAATTTAGCTTTGTTTTGAATGTTTTCATTCTTGTTGCACTTACATTGTGCTGTTATATTTGTTGCTGATTGCGTATAACAAATGTTATTATTGTTGCTGTTGCTGCTGATTTTGTTATTGTTGCTTTGTTCTATGCTGCTGTTGTACAGTTTATCCGCGTATATTTTGTTCCTTGTGCTGTTGTTGCTTTTGAGTATAAACAAACTTTTCGTTGTTGCAGTCTCTTGGGAAATGTTCACTTTTTGCTCTTGCGGTCTCACTATCGACATAATGTTCCACGTGCCTAATCACAGTTAATTATCCAAGCAGCGCAAATGCTGTTCATCTTGCGGATTTAACACAGTTTCGCATTTCGATCAGAGCAGCAAAAAATTCTGATGCAATTGCACTTAAATAGTTGAAAAATAATTTCCGAATAATTTCGAATTCAGAATTTATAAAGTTTATAAATGTTTTTTTTTTTCACTTTTTTCTTTCAGTAACGATTAAACTGTTCTCTGTTTTGTTCTTGTAAGTCTATATTTTGCTTGGCGAGTCCAAACACTTTTAACGGTTCTTGCTAGCGGTTTCACTGTTTTAGCTATTGTCTGGGACTTTTATCAGTAGCAGCGGACTGCACTTCATTCACAATATTACGCGACTCGCGAGCGCATCCACAACCGCTTCGAACGAATGCTGAATCGCAATTGAATTTGTAAAAGCATTTCACTCGGCAGCCGCAGTCCAATACGTCGCTCGGTCACGTTGCCGCTGCACGCAGTAGCGACACGCGACTGCTGGCGAACATCGAACATGGACCGAACATGTTCGTAGCTCGAACCAGCACTACAAAGCATTGGTAAAAGTGAAATTTACCTGCTTCGATTCTGGTTGGACGCGCACACACACTCACACACGCTGCCTGTTGCGCGCTCCAAGTTGCAGCCGATCACATTGCTGTACACTCCATAGTTGAGTAATCAGCGTCAATCTCAAATCGTTTAGAGCTGCACATTTGAAAACTAGAACGTGACTGTGCCGTGTGCCGTCCACTGGGTGTAACTAACGGGACGCGACGAGTGTGAAGAGGGACAGCGACGACGACGCTGACAGTGATAAAGACGGAAGGTGTTTTATTGGAATATTGCGTTGCAATACGTACGTATATGTACATACAAACATACATACATACGGTACATATATATAGACATGTCTATGTATGCATATTGTTCTCTATGTGTGTGTGCCAAATGAATTGTGGTGACGCAAGCGCCTTACACAGAACACCTAAAGAAAAACAAGTCAATGTTGCCGAACACTATAGATACCCTATAAAAGGCTTTCGTAGCTGCTTTGCATGCATAGTAGTGCACATAGCTAGAGTGTGAGTTGTTTACAGGGTATCTGCTAGTCGTGCCTTTCGTACTATTTTCTATTTGTGCACCGTTCTCAGATGCAAACAAGATGCAAATCAATCTAAGTTTAGCTTCTGGTTCCATGAAGCTGTTGCTAATTAGCCAAAAAAGACAGTCCAATCGGAACTGTCAATCTAATAAGCTAATATGCTCTGAAGTCAGCAAATCAATTAATTAGTTAATACTCAGCAATCAGCGATAAATACTGATTGAAATAAAGAAACAAACATTGCAAATTATATAATCACAAATTATATTTACATTTGACGCTTGATAATCGTCGTTGTCTTATCAGTCAGTCTAGAGGACACAGCTGAAAACAAAGTTGCAAAAAGGGGGGTAACAGAATTGTGACTAAGACAATATTGCGTATAAATACATATGCCTGCGGCATAGGCAGAAAAATAATATTTTAAAGGAAATTGCAGTGCGAAGGTCATGGGCCAATAGCAACAACTCGAGCGATATGATGTAAGCTCTATAAGTTTGATTGACTGATTGACGAACTGAACGAATGACAGTTTGATTAGGCGAAACGATGTAGGGGCACTCAATGCATAATTGTCAATTCTAAGAAATTTAAGTATTAAATATACTTAATGAGATAATGAATGTGTGTGTGTGTGTGTCAATGTCTACTGAGTTGATAGACATAAAAACAAACAGGGAAATAAGAAACAAAAGCGTTAAAGAAAATAACGAATATTGCTACTGATAAGCGTAAGTAAGACATATCCTCTTATCAGTTAATATATTTAGAGAAATGTCCAACAAAAGAATAAAAGAAAACAAAGGAAATTTGAAACAAGTCGCGCTTAAGACAGCTTCGAACAACGAACATGTTGTAATAGAATCCAGTAAAGAGCGCAAGCTACCAATGTCAATAAGAACGAAAGATCCAATAAGAATGCGCATTTCACTTAGAACCTGAGTCAAATTTTACATACATTTAACTTGTCTCAATGTATTTGTCTTGTCTCATTTCTATTTAACATTCTAATTAGAGAAACATTCCTATATGAGTTTGTGATTGCATAATCATTTATAAATTTATATATATATATAGAATTATAATTAATATTACATTTTTGTGCCTGACGACAATAAAAGCATTCGACTGCGATTAAAATACATTTGAAAACCCGCATAAAGTGCTGAAAAGGTAAACAAATAAATCATAAATGCATTAGCTAGCAGATACCCTTTAATTACTCAGTCAACAACATTAAGATTCATAAATTCAAGCCGACGGACAGGCTGGCTGGTTGGCCGGCTGACTGGTTAAATAATTCGCTTTATTACAAAATCAACTCGTCGCGCAGTTCCAATTCCAATTCCAACTGCAAATGCAGCTGCTGCTGCTTTAGTTGCAGCTCGAGCAACAGGTACACGTGAGCCCGGACTCTCACGTGGGCCGTCCAATCGCGCCATTTCCGTTGCTGCCAACTTGAGCGCATCTAAGCAGCAGCAGCAGCAACAGCAGAGGCAACACATGTTTTCTGACGAGAGAGTTCATATCCGAAATGTCAATCTGAATTCGAAGTGATCCAATAAGAATATGCCGTTGCTCAAATCACATGTCTAATCAGCAAAAAATGCGCTTATTGGTTAAGTGAAGGCGGGGCACACGACATGCGGGATATGCTCACGTTGTGTGGTTGGGGTAGGGGGCCAAGGGAGGGGGTGGTGGGTAGCTAGCTGGGCTGCTTGTAAGCTGTTACCGTACTGCTGACTACACTGGCTTGCTGTGACTGTGTGTGTGTGTGTGTGTGTGTGTGCCTCTGTTTGTGTTTGTGAAAAAGACGTCAGATTGTTACGAAACAGCGTCGACGTCGGCAGCGCAGAGGCAACAACAGCGTAATACTAGCTATCGGTAGTAAACGGCTGGGCCGCTCAGCCATCAGGCAGCCTGGCAGCCAGCTAGCATTTGGTGCTGGCATCCCCCTGCCCACCCACTGCCGGCACGCCCCCGAAGGGCTGGCAAGTTATAGCAAAGCCAATGGGCTATTTATACTTGATACTGGACGGGCGCTGGCGCTGATCACGTGTCGCGAAATGTGCAGCCGACAGTGCAACGCTCCCGCGACATCGGCTCACATGTTCGCGACTTGAGTCCGCTATGGAAATGAGCGTGTTGCCTACTTTTTGCGCTTGATTTGGAATTGTTATTGTGACTGTTGTTGTCATTCTTATTCTTACTATGATACCGCCATGTCAAAAGTGCTGAAATGGTGTATATTGGTTACGCTCCTACAGAGAGAGAAACAGCTCGTTAAAAAGAGACTTGTTCCAATTGATCGGCTGATGGGCATTCTCTTTAACACTCAGTTTATTCGTTACGCAATTGCAAAACGAAAAAGATCTGGTTGGAATTTTCAGGTGGAAACAAATTTGTTTGAATCTGAATCCAATTGGAATGTGAATTAAAAAAGAAAACTTGAGACATTCTATTAGAGAGCTAACAAGATGTAGTTAGTAAAACCAATTGGAAAGTACCCTTATTGGGCACTATTGAGAGATTAATTTAGTCAGCAGTTAAATCCAATTGGAATGCACATTAAAAGAGAACAATCGAGCGATTCTCTTAGAGAACGAACCAGATTTACTTACAATGGCAATCCAATTGTTTGTTTTTAAGTAATCTTTAAACGTAATACCAATTATATAACAGTTTTACAGATTGAATAAGATTTAGTCTGAACGCAAATCCAAATGGACTTTATTTAGGTAGGTAGATTTATTTAGGTTTCTATAGAAGCCTAGAATGAAATCTGGAAAATTGTATTTAAAATAAAAATTAAATAAATTATATTCTATATTAAATTTAATTATGTTTTTTTTTTTCAAATATTTAATATAAATAAAATAAGCTAAAATAGAAATGTAATCCAAATTAAAAAATAAATAATTTAAAAAAATAAAAATATAATTTGGGTTTTTTCAAATATTTTATATAAATATTTTATAAAAAAAATAAAAAAAATTTAAATTTAAAAATAAAGAATTTGAAAATAAAATAAATCAAAATAAATTTCATTTTTGTAGTTAAATATTAAGAATTTGTACAATTAACTGTGAATGTAAATATTTATTTAGCCTAGAAATTAATTACAGTGTAAAAATTATTAGCAAAGAGCCAGAGAGAAAAAAATGTTTTTAAATTTTTGACTCACGCTGCAATCAACTGAAATTACGAGAATTTTATTATGCATTCAGCTTTTAAAAAATTACAAAATCCAAAAGGGAAAACAAGAAACCAAAATAAAAGAAATAAAAAAACAACAAAATTCTTGAGTTTATATCGCATGAATTGAAACACAGACATGGAAAGATATGTATACGTAATATATATTATATAGGACAGCCAAATGTTCACAGGGTATTACAGCGTCGATTCGAATTGCCTAAGCAATAATTAATGCTAATTTCAGCTATTTGCATATTTATTTTTTTGAATATTCAGCTCTGTGCAAAGACGTAAAAACTTTGTCGCTCGGCGAGTGCAGGAATTATGCAATTGTTCTGGGCTTTGCGAAAGTTCCGCTTTATAAAATGTGCACGGACATGTGAGTGAGTGAGTGAGAGAGGGAGAGAGAGCATGTGTGTGCATTTATCAAGTGCGATAATAGCGCATGAAATGAAGTCGAGAATTTGTTATTCGAAACAGAAACAGAAGCCGAAACAGAGCGTATTACATATAGACTGTATATATGGGTGCATCTAGGGCGAATTACTGGCAGAAATTGGTATCATTAACAGGTCTGTGTATTGCTTTTGATTAGCTAACCAGATACAATTTCAAGTAATTATTTCTTACTTTTAAAAAAAGTACAAGAGATCAACTTAATTTAGCTAAAGGAACATTAAGCTTAGGCAGGCTATAAACGACTACGCAATACTCTTTCCAGAAACTAATTATAGGCTAATATTGTTAATAGCAATAAATACTTTACTTGGGCTAAGTTACAGATAGCCTGAGTAGGCTATAACCGACTAAACAATACTCTGTTTTAAAGTTTAACTAACGCTAAATACAGTTAAAAAGCCTATTGAACTCTTAAGCAAAAGCATTGAA